TTTTTATATATTACCTTTACTTTTCCTATCGATTTAGGTATTTGTTTGTCAATCATTCTTTCGTTGTATACGAATTTGAAAAGGTATAGTAAATATATGTATAGAGATTCTTAACAATAATGTATACTAACGTTTTATTTATTATATTATTATTTTATTTCGTAATTTATTCAATATGCCATTTGTCAATTTCCATTTAACCGAAATGCCTTTTGAACGATTGCTGGCGGAATCGACCGTATAAAATAAATAAATGATAAAGTGATTCTCGTATTGGCATTCGTAATTTTGACAGTACAGATGAATGTTTCGGAACTTGCGAAAAACGCGAATGATAAAGTGTAATTCACGTGCCGACGTTTGTGTTCCTTTCTACTTGAAAACGCATCACCTCAGATTATTCGAAATCGCGGCAAAGTCGACGAAGAAAATTAATATTTTGGTATTCGACTGCGTTTGAAAATTATCCTGCAATTACATCTATACTACCCATTTTGCAGAGTAATTTTTTTGTCTGTTTAACGATTTATTTGAGTGTATTGAAATATATGTCAGGTCAGAGACCAAGAAAATACTAAAAATTATGTAATGTTTATTTGTACCCAATGACTGATCATTGCTAACAAAAAACGATTCTGAGCAGAATTTCGTTAACAGTATTGCTTTGTCAATAATATATATATATTATGTCATAATATGTTAAAATAATTACATATGCATTACCTATAGGAAATATATTTTCTTTAATAATAATTTTTAATATTGTATATATTTTCTCGTTTTTCCTTCGGTTTTATTAATGTATTTTACATTTATTGGGGAAATCACCTGAAGTAAATCAAAAAATTATCTGCTAAATTATCCCCCTAGTCAGATTTTCCTTGGAAATTGGAGCAAAATTGTTAGTAGAAAACTAGGCCACAAAAAAAAAAGAAATATGTTAATATTTTACTAATATTTTTCGTACATTTTCCCGTTTTTCCTCTATTTTTGGGATTTTTCACTTTTATTGAGAAAACTCCTGAGAGAATCAACAAAAGGCCTTGTAAATGTACCTCCTCAGTGTTATTTTTTTTTCAGAAAAGTGCTACACTTAAAAATCGGAGCGATATTTCTGGTAGAAAAATTGTCCGCAAAAAAAAAAAAATTACCATTTTTCTAAAACCATAAGCTTCTTTGCTCTATTCATGCAATTAGACATGCAATTTAATTGTAAATACAAGTTTTATTTTAATTCTAATGAATTTAATTCTACATATAAATATTACTGAATTAATCTTATAAATAATATAACATTCATTCTGTAGTGTATATTAACTTTTAAATTTTAAAATAATATGATATGTTGTAGCACAACCAATCTGTATACCTATTTATTTATTTATTAAATCTAGCGTCTACTCTAACATTTTCGGTATGGGGGTCTACACGGCTGGGGCCCGGTTAGACATGTCTAGGTTGCCCGTCAGTTTGATTCGCCACTGTTCATTATAATATGCCTACTGCAGTTTATGCCCTTAGTGTTTTCGACTATTTATGTTCTTTTTTTTAAAATGGCTCATCGTCAACGACCATGCAACATATTATCAACGACAAAAAATAGTCGAACGTATTTTATTTTTATACGAAATAATTTAAATTTATAAATTGACAAAGAAAATTTAAATGTTTTTTAAGCTAACGTTTTTTTTTTTTTGCTATTTTTTCCATTTTAAAAATCAGTTTTTAAGTTGTATATTAGTTACAAATTAATTTCTTTACCAGTTTCAGTTCAAAGCGGACGGAATGTATCGGATTTTTTTTCTGGTTAAAAGTTTATGATTAAATATGACTTGATTATCGATAAATTTACATTTCACGGGCCGAATTCTATACCTATGGACGTTGAAAATTTAAACCCATCTGGATTAATCGAACTGACGCGATGGTCGCACGTTATTTTTTAAAGAAGGCCACAATATTATCGTAATATTATGTTGATGTGGAAACGATAACGCAAAGTTTAAACCGTTTTTAAGTACTTGCACCTGCCGTCCGTAATATTATAACGATAATAATAATAATACGTGGTATATTAGGTATACGCGTAACGGTCCAAGTTTCCCAAAGTTTATGTTATTTGATTATTTAAGCCCGTAACGTGTGCCGACGCCCCTTAACTGTATAATACAATATATATAGGGTACATGGGATAATATCGTTACGATTAAAAACGGTTTTTAATCTAAAAGCACAATGTTATAATTATAATAATAATAATAATAATAATAATAATAATATAATATAGGTAATGGAATAATTAATTCATAGACGCTTTCTTAAAGTTTCATTATGATAAGAACGGAAAGATCAGAGGAAGATTAAGATATAATAGTCAAAATGACATATACGCTGTAAATTCGGCCGAAATAAGGTTTTTAGCGTCTCTAGTCGCACAAAAATGTCCACTATCAAAGCCTGTATTTTTATTCACTCCCGTTAATTATAAATGTATTTTTCTGCAATGTACGAGGTCGGAATTTTGTGCCTGTTTTTGAGACGCGCTCTTGGTTTGAGTAAGTCTTGTCAAACTTTTGCTATAGCTCTGCGGGTCTTCGGATATTTTTTGGCTACATAAATTAATTCCATGGGATAAATCTATTGTCTAAAACCCCAGAAACGCTGGTAGTATTACAAATTTCAATGTCTAAACCTGCATCGCTTTTCGTAGGAACGATCGAAATGATTTATTTTCCCATTATCTATCGCGTCAATACACGTTTGAGTAGACTGATTATGATAAATTTCGATACTTTGATTTTTTTGCTAATTCAGAATAGAAATCTAGATTATTCTGATAATAATCAATTTTAATAACACGTGAATTATGTTGAACAGTTGGTCTATTTGTTTTTTTCTTTTAATTTTTTTTTATGTTGATATAAGGAATATAGAATTAGTAATTGTATGAATCTTTATATAATCTTAAATTATTTCGTAATTTTATTATCAGGACTCAGGACTTTTATGGTGTTTGCTAATTTGTTTGACTTGACATTTAATCTAACAGGGTATTATTAAAATGTACGTTATATTAATATAAACAAATATGAAATTTATAGGCGTTTTTAATTCTTTTTTCTTTTACAAATTTTGATAGTTTTTTTTAATATGATTTTTACTAGATTTTCATAACTTTTTATATCCTTTTTAAGTACTCATTACAGGGCTTACCGTGAAGTTTTATTAAACATTTTTTTTTTGTTCATATTAAATGATATAAAAGTCGCGAATCTCGATCATAACTATCTATCTATTTATACAAATTATTACACATATTATTATATTCCATGTTATATTTTGTAAAAATAACGGTTTGGTAGAAAACTATATCAATTAATCAGTACATTATTACGACTTTTCGTTTACAATATGGAAGAGTATCATGGATAGTACTAGTGTACATTACTTGTGGTTCGAGTTTGGAAATTTGTGTCGAACTACAAGACGTATAATAAAATGTTTTCGCGGTTAATGGTTACGAGTTCACGTAAGCATCAATTTTGAACAAAAACTATGTATAATACCTATCTACCCTCATTATTTACAGTTGAACTATTTATATACGGGTAGATTGATTTTCTTTTTCATTTTTAAATTCAGATAATCATTGTATCGGTATACCTAATAGTACTACAATGAATTCAGGTACACAGTTTTATTTTCCCAACATAAATTCGTTCGTATATATTCCTCCATCGTTATTTCACAATAATAATTATTACAGCTATCTCAGTGACGTATTTATAGCTGTTTGCCACTCTTAGGTCAATTTTTTTGACGCTCCATCCAGAAGTAATAATTTAAAAAAAAAAAAAAAAAACTTAAATTTCAGAAGCAATTATTCATCATTTAATATTATTTTTACCAGCAACTTAATAGATTTGCAGTGTCTTCCGAATTTGCCTTGGATTTTAAACACAAAAGTGCAGTTACTAAATAATTGTAGGTGAAAATCGCGCATTTCACGCGTAATATTTTCCCATGTATGATAAAACTTCGTTTGGTTCTATAGATAACTAAACAAAAAAAAGACTCGGTCAATTTTAATCATTTATATTTATGTTGTATACAATTATCCTCAATTTATATTTATCTAAACAGTGTTTAATCGATGCTCGTTCAAAATGCGTTTTCATTTATCGTTGCGTACAGAAATAAATATTAAATTACTCTATTTGTATATGTTATTAATATTACATATAATTTGTATAAGTTTGGATTGCATTCACAACTTCCCACCGTGACACACCCAGCGTACGAAGTAGTCGACTTGATAATATTATTTGATATGAAAATCGTAGTTATGAAATAACATATTATATTGCATTGTATTCGGTATTTGTGTTTAAATTTAATTCGTTTGGAGTGTATTTCAACGTCGGAATCTATTATTGAAGAGGTTTTGAGTTCAAATCTTAAGGGTCTGAATATTAACAATTCGCCGACCGCTTTCGCCTTTATTCCGTCCGCCCGAACCGAATTCTTAAGTAACTACCTACCATATACCTATATACGAGCGAAAAGTCAATGACTATTTTTGTTTTATATTTGTTGAAAACAAAAGTATATATTAAATATTTATTACAGTCTAAAATAATATGACTGCAAGGTTTATATTGAAGGGGGCTTATAATAATTATTTTTTTTTTTTTTTAGAATAAATTCATTTACCTGGCTTTCAATTCAAAAAGTGCACATGTTTTCGATTTAGAACAAATGGACGTGACCATTTGGATGGCAAAAAAAAAATAAATAATATAAATACAAGTGTTAGTAACAATAATAAAAATATGACATCATAAAAGTGCTATCGATTTATAAAATGCTGAAAAAATGTTAACAAAATTAAAATATGATAGTTAAAAAGTTATATACATAATAATATTATGGTTTAATATTATTAATTGAGTGAAATAACTTGAGCAATTCCGCGTAAGGATATTGTTTTAGTTCTACTTTTACAACTTTGAACTATATTTTTTAAATTTGTTCATCCGGATCAATAAATGTCTTTAATTTTAACTTTTTGGGAGGAGCTGTTACCCTGCTTCAATTTGACTATAAAATACATCTCGTTCGGCTTCTACGTTTTATAAGCAGTTGATTAAAGACCACAAACTAGGATGTAATGTATAACGATATACAATAAATAACAGTCAATCATATCTTTACAAAAACCTCCAGTACACAGATTTACTCAACAACATTTCCAACACCCTTGACGCAGCACTCGGATTGAACGCCGACATCATCAAACAATTTTTTTTCACTTTTAAGAAAATCTAAATTGTACACTTTAATTTAAATAACATAACTTAAGGCACTATTCATTAGCATTTATTTGTAACTGATATAATAACTTATGGCCGCTGCTGCCGATGTTGATGGTCAACAAAAAAAAAAATAAAAATAATAATAATTTTGTACCTGCGATAAAATTAGTTATATTGTGTATCATTACGCATTATTGGTTCTATAATTTACGAATAAACTATAGAACAAAGATTAAATTTGTTCGTAGAAATGCATAATATACTTTTTTATTTTTAAAAATATTTCACTTAATCAATATAAGGTGTATAACTTTTAACTTGTAATATTTTTAAAAAAATGGTTTGGATTTTTTTTTTTTTTTGACCTCCAAACGGCCACGTCCATTTGTCTCTATTCGGTTCGTATTCTATGTTATATTTTTTGGCGTAAGTTAAAGTTGAAATAATAAAAAACACGTTGATACTTGCTGCTGATACTTGATAGTACATAATTTAAATCACGATTTATGCCTACCGTATAAAATAAAATAGGGGTTTTTTCTTTCATTAATTTTATCAAACAGTAGATACCATACACACATATTCACATAATAAACGGGTGGATATAAATATTCATCGTCACGCGTTTAAAGATCGATTGATTGTGAATTAATTTGCAAAACTAATAACAATGGAGGCCCACTTGGAAACAAATAAACCGTGAACCATTTTCATTATTATTATTATTATCATCATCATACCGTTTGTGTGTACACTGGAATATGTATTTGAATTTGACTAAAGAAATATTATTGTATTGTTAGAAAATAAATTATATATGAATAATTTATCCACTCGGCACGATACCTTTAGGTCATGGTTTATAAATATATTTTGTATTAAATATTATTGTTATTTTTGTAAATTCCGCCGACGTCCGTATTCAATTAAATCAACGTACACATTCAGAGCATAATAATACTCCGACCAGTGCGTTTTGAAACCGTTCCGTTTGTGTTATTGTTTTAATTTTTTTCAACGGGATTTCGCATGATATCTATTAGTACTACATAATAACTATTATCATTATCAAATCTATACACACTCAATTCGAGATTAATTGAAATTATAGCAATAATATAATATGGCGTTTGTAGTCAATAGACTATTGAATATAATCGTATACATAAAAGGTCTGTTTGCAACGCGTTTGTAATTAGACCGTGAATTGTGACGCTTTTGTAGAAATTGGAGTCTACACACAAATACCAAACACAATTTAAAGTGGAGAATATTTTCGAGGACTGCACCAAAGAATTTTTCTTTGTACAAAACATTTCAACATTGTACAAATAATGTACGACCGTGTTATTTTCGGCGTCTGTTAAATAGCTGCAACATTTTTGTGTGACGACTTTTTCAGAATAAAACAAAACTATGTTTTAAGTAACATTATTTCGCTATGTCGTGCGTTAGCAAGGCGGAAAAAACGCATGCGAGTATGACGTCCTTTTAACTAAAAAATTATATTGTAAAGTATGTATCAAAATATTTATAATTTATTATTTATAAAAAATTAAGACTGCAATGCCAATTTGTATCATAGTGCACCCGGTTTCCTAGATTGCAAATGCACATTAAGGATTGGTTGTTAAAGTCGATTAACTTTTATTGGACGAATACGATATTGATGCTCAATGAAATATTATCGTCTGTTATTGGAGATGATCTTTAATAATAATTTAATATTATTTTCCGTTTTGAGTTTGTATGAATCAGTGCGCAGTTTGTGTACATGTATCATGATATTGTTTCAATGTTAATAACAAAATAAAACTTTATTTAAAACATTTGTTTTCGTTGGAATTCTTGTGTAAATTAATTTTTGTCCTAATGATTTGCAGCATTAAGATTTATCTTTGTCCATTTAAACGGTTCAATGTCCGTTATAACCCACTATACATGACGGGCATACAACTATATAGTCATAAATATTGAACTAACATAAAGAATACAGAAAGAAATATAATTCAACAAAATGTTAACACTTTCCATCAGAAAAAAGAATCAGTTTTCTATGTACTTAAAATGTCCCATTTTGGATTTGTTAAATTTGTTTCAACTAAAAAAAATAAAAAAATAAAAAAAAAAATGGAAAAACTTCGATTTTTAGGTCGTGTGTGCTAAATCGAATATTTTAAACAAATTATAGAAAAGAGCACTCAGTGAGCGTGGAAAGTTCTTGGTTTCTACACGTATTTTGAACAATAAACTATAATAACAAAAGGGTGGACGTTAATGCATTTGCATACTTTTTTCCTTTCACAGTAAAAGTTGTAGAACGGGATGGAAATTTATTTCGTAAAATTTACAATACACAATTCATGTTGCGTATTATATTTGATCGTATCGAATTATTTTAATTTTTTTGAGCATATTTTTATATCAATGTGTTGAGGTTTTTTTTTATTATTATTGAATATTTTTATGTTACAACGATTATTTTAGACATATTAAAAATAATAATCATACCAATAATTTAAAATTAGTTAAGCTTCTATCAAGAATAATACAAATCAAAATTATTTATTTATTTTTTATTTTCTAGAATACGGATTTTGAAGGAAAATGTTTTTTTTCTATTGTTCTTTAACGAAGCTAGGTAAGCTACAAATTCGATTTATACTACTTAGAATAATATGCACGACATTTTATTTTGTAAATTAATGCTTTTTTGGGTATGTTGAATACTATTTTTGCTTTTAAGTTACATTTTTTTCAAAATATTTTTTAAATAAATTTTATATTTGAAATGTTAATATTTATTTTTATATTATATATGTTCAAAGGCAGGCTCAATCGATTTATCTTATAATATAATCTTACGTTTGATTCACGAATATGTTTATTGATACAATTTAGATAATGTGATTCACGTACCGTATGGTATATAGTAGTAGATTAATTTATCTTGAAACGACAGTAAACACAAAAATATACCCTATTTTTTTTAAAACAAAAATAGTAATTATGTTTTTTTAGAAGATTTATGTAGCTTTATTGCTTTTTTTAGTTTTTTATTGTTTTAAAAACCAAACTCTATTTATTACCTATGGGTAATTATTTATTTTTAAAACATACGCACATGTCGCATCTGTACCGACGATCAACATCTATTTAAATTATTTATACTCGTACATAATCAGTTGACATTTTAACATTTTATACAGCATAATATATTTATGTTGTTTAGCGCATCAAAGTCCGTCGTTTACTAATAAATTATGCACTGCCGAAAGAATTTGATGACCTTTGATATAATTTATCCGCGTAGAAATCTAACCAAATTGCAATATGTTTTAATTTGTAAATAGTTCACAGGGAATAATTAAAAATCTTAAAGTACTCATTTTATGTTGATACTTATTTTTGTTAATATTGGCTAGTATGAACGAATTCATTCGAGGTAATAACGGTGCACATATCTTATGAACAATAATAATAGTTTATGTCTAATACTAAGGACGGTACGGTGTTTAATTTGATTATAATTATTATGTTACGAATAATATACATATCCTTGTCAACCGAATTGAATTGGTTAATGGATAAAGGTGTGAACCAATATGTTTAAAATTCTTTATTTAACATACTACGTTACCTTTTTCCAGAAACAAAATTTGTAAAAATTGTTCAATACAACACCTTCATAAATTATAGTTATTTTCATAAATATATGTGTTTTTATTTCCGAATTGTTATATACATCTGTAACACGTCAAAACCAATTGATTAATGCAATGATACCAATTTCAAAAAATAATACAATTGTTTCATTCCTTTACCCGCTGACCTCTTCAACTATGTACGTACTGTATAGTGACTGTTAGTGGTCGAAAAAATCCGGATTTACTGAATTGTGATAATCTAGATTTTTGGATTCCGAAATCAAAAATGTATTTAAAATCTGAATTTTAGTTATTTTAATTTTAATTTCACGGATTATTTTAGGCATTTTTTGTTCAAAAACTAATTTTAATAATCATACATTTATTCAGTATAAAATTTAATATTATTATATAATGTGAATTATCTGATAAAAATTTATTAAAATCACATTAATAACTAAAATTATTATGTAAAGATAAAATATGGGTGAAAACTAAAAATAGTAGCCGTTGGCAAATAAAATTATTATAAACATTTATTTTTTCTTCTATAAAATAATTTAATATACATTTTAGATTATGAACGTAGCGAGGAATCCATTAAGAAAATATAAATATATAAGATAAAAAAAATAAATCGAATATTTAAATTTAAAATCCGTATTTTTAGATAATTTGATTCATCGCTACAGTAACGAACCGGACGAACGGACACAACGAGAACAAGAAAATTCACCTTTTTTTTAAAAAAGATGTTTTAGCTTTTAAACGTATACACAGAAACTTAGGTATGGGAAATAAAAACGCATGTGTTATTATTAGGTCATTAATAAAAGATAATAATAAAGCTATTCACTTTATAAAGTATCCGAGATTTCGGTCTCTAATCGGCAAAAATATTATAACTAGTATTGCTATTTCATATATATAAAAAAATGCGATTTGCATTTTAATTCAATTATAATATTATAATCCTAATAAACCGTATTGTATACGGTTTTTAATTAATTTCCTTTTCTTGAATTCCTTTTCGTCCGACCCCCGAGGCATAAAATCAAGCGCTGAAGAAGGAATAGGATTTATAATAAGAAGCTCGAGCCTTTATATTGCCGATTTTAGAGTGGTTATAGGCTTTTGTAGACCCTACGACGTCAATCAAAACATAAATTGGAACAACAAAAATATGCGCGCAGATGTGCTTGCGGCAGGGATCTAGAAAAAAAAAACTGTAATCAATATTTTTTTTATATTATTATTTTTTTTTTTCAACGAACGACGGCGTGGATATAGGAAATTTAATAAAACGAAAATAATCTTAAACCCGCAACCTTTATAGACTATAATAATATACTCGATATTATTATAGGTATATTCGTTTTAAAATCAAAATCTGTAAAAAGCCAATATTATTACGATGACGATGAAGACGACGATGACGACGGACTATCCGATATTTTGATACCTAAGCATTATTAAACTTGTGTAATAAACTATTTACGATGCGTACGTTTTTTATCTATCCATTTTTTTTTTTTTTTTTGTATACTTTTATATATTATAAAAACGTTAGATATTTACCTCGGTTTTGATGCCGTAGTCGACCGAATATATATATATATATATATTGTAAAGGTTTAAATAAAAATATAAAATGATACATCATATTATTGGCAATATACCCGATATTTAATCAATTTTATCGTTTTGGTTCTATACGAAGTAAATATTTCCAACAATCTATTTGTTCAACGTTATAGTTTGCCAAATATCGCGCAGGCTCTATTTTTAATATTCTACATTAGACGAGTATAAAAGACGATGCTTCTGCTAATACTTGGATATACTGCTGCAAACATATTGGTTTTTCAACGAATACACGCAATGACCGTAACCCGGGGTGTGTTTTGAGTGTTTGGACCCACTTTCACCCGTGTTCAATATTAATGTATTAAGCCGTCTTAGAAAAAAAAAAAAAATGCATTTTTTTATGTAGCTTCGTGACATGTTCCTTCAAAAAATTATGTTTGCGCCCTACAGGACACAGGATATTTTACAGGATACGTTTTTGATGATATTAATAAAGCGTTATTAGAATATTTTGAACCAGCCGGATACCTATGAACTAAAAACAATCCAGATATTGATAGTAGAACAACCATAAAAAAATAAAATAATTATCTCGCTCTCCCTCCCCCCCGAAAAAAAAATTACAAAAATGTTATGTCTATTTATAGATAACAGAACAATAAATTATGTATTATTAAATTTCCTTAAGAATTATCCATCAGGATTATTTATAATAATCATCAGTTATAGGACTATTTAACAAATATGTGATTACATATGTGAATATTTTTCATTTTTTTTTTTATTTTTTTATATTTGAAGCATAGCGTAGGAATATTAATAAGTTTTACTATGTGTGTTTGCTTCCTCGTATTGGATATTTTTAATTTTTAATTTAAAAAATCTTAATTAACTATGTAACGTCCCTACCACTTTCCGGTGATCAAAATAATTTTTTACGCAAAGCACTATTTTTTTTTTTTATCAAGCAATGCTACTTGACGGATCTGATGACTATTGCGATATTTTAATTATTCGTGTACAAGATTCTTGTTTTTTAACTGTTCGTTTAGTTTTTTAATATTTTATTTTTACCTATAGATATTGATGTAGTTTTCTTCGATCTTCAAGTTCAGTCAATTTATGTGTTTATCGTAGCTTTCTGTTTGGATGGAGACTGTCATGGGGTTTAAACAATTCATGGTTTTAATTTTATGTATGGTGTTATGCAATTTTTATATTTGTAAATATAAATAAATATAGTTACCACGAATTAGTGTTGCCATAAAGTAGAATCAAAAAAATCAAATAAGTAATAAAAAAACAAAAAGGACGGATATACTTCGCACGTGAGTGCAGTCACTTTTGTAGGCGGGAAATTGAGAAGGTAGGATACAGACGGGAATTTAATGTATATCTGTAAGCAACGATAAGCCATTGGTAAGGAAAAACGATTCTGAACTGAATCCAGTCGATATTATTGCTTTTTCTTTAATATATATATATATATATATAGATTATGTCATAATATTATGGTAAAATGATTACATTAATGTGCGTTTCCATGGCAACAATGATTATTCAAAAAAGATTTAAAATAATAAAAACTTATTAATAACAAAAAATAAACAAAAACGGTTGGCATTGATAACATTATTTTTAATTTTTCGATTTTTTTCAACCTAAGAACCAGGTTTTTCGCATGATCTCGAATGTAATGAGAATTTCAAAAAATTACATCTTTAAAGTACCACCAAGAGAGAACATTTCCTTTGAGAAAAAGTACTATACTTAATAATCGGAGTATGATTTTTCTGGTACAATAAGTTTTTACATAAAAAAAAAATAAATAAATAAACATCTTTTTAAAACCAATACATTCCTCGCTTCACCCAGAATCCATTATCATACGATACTGAATATAACCAACATAATATATCTATATAATAATATAGTTATATTCACTATATTGTAATATAGTTGACGTAAAATATTAAAAGCATTTTCCCGGGGAATGCGTAGAGATTTGTCCGTTATACACCATGGAGATTTCTGTATTATATTATACGTCACGATGACGTAATAAAAGAACGCCCGAAATTAATATTTCAATATTTCATTCTTAAGCGATTATACTAATGCGTTTTGAAATCGTCATACATAATATATTCATATTAGGTATGTTTAAGATTCTGAGTACAGCGAAGAGGCTTACAGTTTTACTACGATGTATTTCTTCCGGTAAACATGTATCGGGTTGTTAAGCCCAATTCGATTTTTACATATTATATAACTTAAAAAGATACGGATTTTTCGCTAGACGGTACTTTATTTGAGCTTTTTTTTCGTAAACAGTTTGAAAACCTCAAATACAAGTGATAATGTACTAATGTGGTTTTTTCTTTTTTGTAAATTTCTGGTTTGCCTCGTGTACAAGGGAATAAACACGACTGATGTCACCTAACAGATTAAACTAACCTAACCGATAAGAACCGTTTTCCGAATACACGTTGCTAGAAACTAACCTGTGTGCAGACACCACGGTGATACGAGTAAACGAAACTCGAGTTATGATGTAAAGGATGTAAAGGGACTATTGTGTCATCATCAATGTATCAGTAAATCAGTAGTTTAACTTCAAGCATCCTCATCCAAGCATATTTTTCAAATCTTGGATCCGAACCGGTTATTGTACTTTCAAAATCAGTTATAGGATACTATTTCATGTAAATATGTTTTACTAGATCACTTCACAATGAATCTCAAATGATCAATAGGTATTATTAATATTTTGTTAAACATCGATAACGAGTTTTTTTTTTTCTCGGAGTTTTGTGTGGTATTTTTATTTTTGCACAAGTACATATTTAGTAGAATAATAGGATTTTCTGAGTAAACTCATCCGTTTTTGTGAAATTACTGTCAAAATTTCTTTTGATTTTCGTTCTGATAATATTTTGATCTATTATGCTCCGCTTACACGTTTACTAATTTTAATAAGTAGGTATTTTAGTCACAATATTGTGTATCTTTTCATACGAAATTCGATTTCATAAGGAAAACACTACTACATTCCGAGAAGCAATTAAGCAACATCACGGCGTCAAAACGGTGTGGTCAAGTAGGTCGCCGGTTACTGACGTTGACAACCCGTGACGTTGCCCGATTATGTAAACATTATCGTATGTATATAACATAATAAAAGATAAAAATATAAAAGATATGTTGATGGACTGTTGCCGGTCTGTGACGTGACGTTAACACTTAACGTTACATATATTGCCAATCGAAGTGTGCCTTCGCGATAATCGTTTGGATTGAAAAATGGATTGAACCCGGGCTTTTGTGTAACGGGAATAAAATTTCAAAATATTACGACACGTCTTCTTTAGAATTTTTCGGGTAATCTTTAACCAGACAAACAATACGTGATATAATTTTTCGCTATCCGACCGGTTGGGGAGGATGAGCTAACAGAGGAGGTTCACAATGAAGTAATCGATGAAATGTGATATTGGCGGCTATTGAGCTAAACGTGTACGAGTATATTTTAGCCATAGATAAATACATATACGCGTATGCATATTGTTATAAACGTTAAATTTTTTACGAAAACCATAAAAAGATGATATTTCAAAACATGTTTTACACTGTACTCAGAAATGTATTTCGTCAGCAATGATTTGTCCCGTTATATACGGATTTAAATTAAATAACTATGTATTATATACACCTTCCTAACTTCCGACCAACAACAGTTGTACTCTCGTCATCAGTATCAAATACTTTGTAATATTATTGTCATCAAAATTATAGCGATAACCCGGACCACATTGCGTTGCGCTGCAAGTTTCTGAAGCCCGGTACAAACATAAGTTTGTAAAACGCTAACGTCAACATTCTATCGTATTTATTATAGTGACAGTTGTATTGATAGATAATTCAGATTGCGAAACGCTATAATATTACTTCACAGAATCGTCGCACGACATTTTTTTGTTGAATGTTAGACCTGTGTTCATACGTATACTCGCGTTTATTTGGTTTTTCGAAAACGCGCGATCGTCATAGCCATGACTATATATGATAAAATTTTCTCTTCGAGGAAATATTGACAATTCGAATCGATTGTTATTTAATATATATAATAATTATTTAATTAGTTGTTTAATAATATATTGATATGTTTGATTTAGAGGGTAGAAAATAGTTTGAGACCTAGTCTAATGATATTATTTGTGTTCTGACTAGTTTTTTATTAATAATTCACAAAGTGAAAATATAATATAAAAATTGATTACTGTTTGTTCGGTCCACAGATCAAGGGCGGATTCGGAGGGGTAAAACTGGGTACAAAAGCCATCAAAGAAATAATAATTTACTCAACACGATTTCATACGTATCATATATTATAGAATTATCAATATTTGATGGCGAGAAAACAAAGTTTTTAGTTTTGTGATAACATAAAATACAAATCAGAACAAATTTAATGCGCCCTGGTAATAATTCGAATTGTTAACAGTTTTGTTTACAAAATGTATTACGTTTAATTTTTTTTTTTTTCTATAAATGCCTTATTACACTATCGATACTGATACAGATGGTCACATTTTTTGTGTTTTTCATGGTCAATTCGATAGATTCGAAATCATATATTATTTGCTATCTGAGTTGTTAATAATGAACTAACGATCGAAAAGAAAATTACCGTATATAGCCTCCTTAATCTCACCTACGGTAAATGCTTTGATCTTTATTAGATCCTGAAATTTGCCCTATCTGTAAATATAGATACCGCAGATAGGTATCGTGGTAATTTCAGTAATAGTTTGAAGACTATAGGAAATCTCGATATTTTTGGTTTCAAAATTATGACACCGTTTCCGCCAAAATAATGATAAAATATTATTATGAAAACGTTAGAGAAACTTTATATTTTTTTTAATTTTTGTGTTTTATCGTGAGTTAATTAAATAATTTCGATCGTTTTTTAGAACTTTTTGATTTTAAAAGCTTAAATGTGTTTTATATAATTTTAAAAAAAAATACTAATTTCCGAAATTAATTAAAAACTTAAATAAAAAAAAAAAATACACAAAAAACAATTTTTTTTCTTCTGTTTTTGATATGCGAGATTACTTTTTTCTTTGAGCTTAAAAGTTCTATTTAGTAATTAAAATTAAAAAAATGTGTCCCGTATTTATTTTTTTTTTTATTAAAATATTCAATTAAAAGTGTTATTTTATTATATTTTGTAGAATGTATTTCGACGTGTAATGTACAGGCTATACATTATTATAGTATACTACGTATTCATTAAATAATCTGAACTTTTGGGGAACAAAACTACATCTTTTAATCCCAAACCCAGGAATTGTTCGCAGCGATAATAATAATAACAATAATATTAATGCAAAGTGGTTTTGAATTATATACAAACTGTTGCGTATTTCAAATTCCACTGCAGCTCACTATTTTTCTTCTTTTTATTCTTCTTTTGTTTTTAAAGGCCATACATCCTTCCTGTGAATAAAGCTGTCCCTAGTTAGTTATGATTTTTCCATCGTGTATTCCGTTTCCATTATAGGTTTTATCCGGTGTTTTTTGTTCAACATCTTTTTGGACTACGACCCGGTATTTTTTCACTAAAAGAAAAACAATCCAAACATACTCGCACTATGGACAGGCAGTCTACTGTAGGTCACTATGATATTAAAGTATTGTAGGCAGTTATTCAATCGGTAAGATTATAGTATTAGTAGTGTATTTTTCGCGTATAATTAGAAAAGGAAATCTAAGAACCAATGAAGAAAAATTCTTTATGCATCGGTATTCGTTTCCAGTTTATAGTTTCGGTTGTCGATTGTTACAAAAATTGTTGGGAATTTAAAAAATAAATGGTCGTACAAAGCAAGGGCGCACGTCTCTAGGAATACGTGACGACATTTCGGGGAAAGCGTGAACTTTTTAAAAACTCCATAGAACATAATATACACATTTATGTATATACGTATACATTGCAATTTTACAGTGATGATCTTGTGCAAGAATAAATATGGGAGTTTGAATTCTAAAAGGTTGAAAACCTTTGCTAAAAAGTATCATCAAGGAAAAAATACTATGAGTATTTTAAGGTACCGCGTGGAAATACCGGAGTATTTTGACTAAAAACAAAAAAATTAATTCCCAGTAAAATTATAATAGCATTTCTTCGGTAAACTCAAAGTTCAAAATTAAAATAATGGAACACACTCGGAAAAAAGTAAACTATTTTATACAGGTCCCGGTCAAATACCCGATACCGGAATCCCGACGGTAAAAATCCAAACCAAGACAAGATGGCGTTTGTTGAAATCCCGGTAATTCAGAAGATGTCCAATATTTAAAAGGCCAATAAACTTTTTTACGAACTATTATTTTTTTCGTGTGGCTAATATCTGTATTAATATATTGAGTATTTGGTACATAGACTGTCAGCCCCAATACTCGTGATGTGAACGTATGGTGCGGAATAATGTCGGTGCTATTATCTGTCGAGGTACAGAACCCGTCGGGATTTCGGTTTCAAGATATTAAATTTCTTCCGTTTTGTACAGAGTTTTACATGTCATAATAGCGTTTATTTATTAAATTCTCATCGAATCTTGGTTCGTGAACTAATCATTTTTCGATACAAATTTCAAAGCACTTAAATCCGAACCATACTCATCATATCGTCATAATATAACAGCTCACAACGCCTGCTCGTTTATAATTATAAAGTTCATATAATCGTTTTCTGTAATTGCATACGTCCGATATTCTTTCGAGTGGTAAAAAAAAAAAAACACAAATGTATTTATCGTGTCTCAAATAAGCCTATACGAGTATACAGCGATAAAAAATGGCTTTTCTTCTGCCGAAAATACCATAAATCATACGCGTACCTATACGTTATAGTACATTTTCCATTTTGACTAAAATGTTTCCGAACAAGACACATATGGCGCACACATAAATTATACCCCTATATTATCTTTTCGGCGCGCGAGTATTTAAGCCGTTTGCGCATTTGGCCATTTCATTTCCGCGGAGGCGAAATGCTCGAATTCTAATAGTTACATTATTTCGTCGGCGAATACGTTGGTCAATGTTTCCTTGATTGGGTACTGAAATTGTAATACACGGTCTGAAATGGTAGAAATAATACGATTTTCTTGACGCAGAGTTTCGTCACAGAAACTAACGTTTGATTGCAATGCAACCATTTTACAGTCATTAAAATAATACAATTATATTTCTTAATAACATCTCTAACGTCAAATTATAGTGACGTAATTCTCAAGCCCGCGAAATGTATGTTTTGATTCCGGAGAAAATTGTTTTCAATCAATTTTTTTAAAGAACTGTTTGATAATTTTTCTTATATAATTTATTTTCTTATTTTTTTATCTAAACAAAATATATGTATGTACATTTTAGCAAACGCTGTGCTGACAATTAAAATATCGTAAGTCACTTTGATCAAATAAGCTCTAACTAGACATTTAAAAATGTTCTGTAGGCGGATTGAAGCGATAAAAGTTGGGTTAAATTCCGAAAACAACGAGATTTGCCATGTCGTTGATTTTCAATAAAAATCCAGAGTTGATAATAGAATTATAATGAAAATATACGTCTAATTTACGTGCACTACTACCTATAGATAAATAATTTGCAACATACTATGGTATTATTAAACAAACACAAGCTACGGCAAGATATTGCTGATGGATCAAATTGAACAATCTGTTTTATTAATAATAATATTTTCAATTTTTCATTCTGCTTCGGCCAGTTTTGATTAATACGTCAATCACGAAACTTTTTTTTTAAGTTTTGTCAAGCGGTAATTTTCGAGAAAAAAACCCCTCTCGTAATTACGTAAAATCAATATAAATTCAGTGTTCCGCTCGAGTTGTACCGTATCACGTTATATAATATTCGTTTTTAATGTAATTATACAGGTATTATTATTGTTGTTCGTAATAAAAATTACTCGAGTAAAACAAACGCTCTATTTATTTTTAAAGTACCAAGTAGTGATGAAATAACTTCGATAAAAAAAAAAAAAAAATGTTTCCAGAATATTACCGAAACCGCGTGTCCTCTTCTCGGTTTTTCGCATGCATATTGATCGAATTTTCACCTCCGAAATCGACGAACTTGAGAGGCTTTGCGTTAACCGTTTCTCGAACAATAACATGGTTTACAGAAAAAAAAACTCTCATGCTTCGCTTAGATTGAACCGATTTCGACCATATTTTTGATTTTTAGAATGAGGAACACTTCATATAAAATGCATAAACTAGAATTTCGAAAATTATATTTCTAAACTCTACAACTTTTAGAATTTGAATATCACCAATTTTTACAATTTTTCAATTTAATTTTTAATTCTTCAGCAGTTGGTCACATAATTAAAAATCAAAATCCGTATAAATTGTGAAACTATGAGGCATGCGAGTTTTTCTTGAAAATCATGTTTTTATCATAACATAGGTCGTTTGCAGGTCCCATAATATAATATAACGGAAAACCGATTGAACTACTCGCTATGAATTATTAAGAACAATTATTATTAATAATAAACTTTTAACATTTATATCAATTTATAAAAAATCACAAGCTCATGTTATCTGATGTATCCGTCAAACGAAAGCTGAACATAATAAATTTTCATTCAGTCGAACCAATTTCCCACCTTAAGTGTAGCAATATTAGAATGAATATTCACCTATTGACAAACCTAATGATAGAAACATAGGTAACTGCATCGGTTTTTATCGATACTTTCTTTTTTAAATGTGACATGAGTATAGAAAATATCACGATTTAAATATGCTTATTTCTGATTTGAAAATTAAAATATCGAGAAAAAACCGACGTGGAAGTACATACAATGATTTATCATTTGTAGATCATACATTTATTTTAATACTAAATATAACAACATAAAACTGATTGGATATAGACATTTGATTGTAAAAACGTGTTGTGCGCAGAATAACTTATTCCGCAACAAATTATCGGTGGAATTACCAAAACTCCACAGCAAAATATAGAAGAACTTAATCCGTGCCGTAGCATGCTTATTTTTTCTTTCTTAACATAAATACGATATTAATGGTATCTGTTTGTAAACTTTCGGTTTTATTTTTCTTTAATTTACTTTAAAAATAATATGGTTTAGTGCCATTGTAAAAAAAAAAAAACACCCTACGAGGCGCGACGTGTCGACGTAGGCAATAGTGTTCTTGTCTATATGTGCTGAAAGTTCGGTAGTTTTACTAAATCTATATATATATTTTACGAAAAGAGTTTAGTTTTCCTCTCGAAACCGTTTTCCCCGTAACAATATTAATAAATTTCATGATTACACAATAAATGTGAATTAATCTTCTTCTATTTCGTTTTTATTCCAACTATTTGAGTTCAGCCACTTTCGTCCTAAACTTCCATTTAACCCGATCTTCCACAACGTCCTCGTATGTACCCAACGTCCTTAAAAATTAATAGATACACGCAAACAAGGTACGTATACAAGTGAATAAAATTGTGTATTTGATAATAATTAATATCCGTGAATGCATTATTCGTGTTCACGTGTTATTCATTAAATATGTAGTCAAAATAAATGAAAAATATCGTGAAATACACGAATACATTCGTACGAGTACACGATAATAATTACACGTGTCCACAGATTTTACGTACACGGTTTTATAAAATTTAATGTTAATTTTATGTGAAAGTGTGTACACGTGAAATCGAGAGCTCTACTTAATTTTATACAAATCATTGAGTGTTTATAACCGTAAACGTGGTAGGTGCACAGTCGTGTATTTCGGTCACGTACGGAAAATGGTCGAAAACGTGGGGTTTTATTTATGGACGATGAATTTTAAAATTGTCGGCTTTATGAGGTTCCACGAAATAAAACACGGCGATATTATACTAGTATATAATAATATAATATGGAACGTCGTTGTATTAATTTAAATATAAAAATAAAAAATATTTTACCGTCGGTATTCGACGAGAACGATTTCAAGTTTTTCACAGTACATTTTGTCCCTTTTTTCAACAATTAAACTATTCTGAAAGTAAATGTGTTTCTAAACGTATGTTTTTTAGTAGTGTGTGCAGTGAATAATATTAAGGGTTATATCCTCCCCCTCATTTTGACAGCTTAGGGTAAGATGACGATTCCTAGGAAAAGATGACACTTCCTAGTGCGATAAAAAATATCATTGTCTGAGAATTGTCGAAATTTCCGTAGTTTATTAGATAATCTTATTACGTATCACCTTCCAGCTCGATAAAGTGTACGATCGATCGATTTAACGATAAAAACATGAATAAGATGTTTAATGTACTTCGAAATCAAAAGAAGACGAGAAAGTTGAAGAAAACGAATTAGATACTGCCGAAGTGTATTTAATACATATAACATATATTAATGAGGTAAGTTTTTTTTTTTTTAAATATTTTAGGCTTTGAAAGTGGATTACTGAAACACATAGACACGAGATTGAAAATAAATCATTCCAAAGCAAAATTGTTGGGCATGTCTACCTATTTACTTTAGAATTGGCAGATCACACAGAAAAATTATAATATCACTTTGGTAGGCAACTACTATAAATACTGCTTTAAGAGCATAGAGCCGATAGAGGATACACCCGATGTCATTGCAAAAAAAAATGTGAAACAAACAGGTGTTGCTTGCAGATCGGCATACAGAATTTTTAATTAGAAATTGTCCACGTAACAATAAAATAAAAACAATAACAAACAATTTTTAGTTTTATTGAAAATTGATTATTTATTAAGGCAATTTATGTAATTTTACTATGTAATGTGTATCATTTGCTTTCTACCTTTAGAAAATAATAATATATACTAGACAACGATGTTATTTCCTTTCCTTGTTAGGAATTTTCATTATTATCAGCGAAATCACGTGAAAAATCTTAATCGGTTGATTAAAAATTGATTTTGTATGATTCTGCTATTCAATTTATATAATCGAAATGGTTACAAGAGAAAATTCTACGGTTTTTTCATGGTTAATATTTGCTAACCCATCTATTGAACATCCCCGGGCTTACCACTTACGTTAATTAATCACTATCGTCTTTATCTCTGATTTATAGGGCAATGAGAACCGTACCATGCAAACCCAATGCTCTATCATCCTATTTTTTATCCATTTGTTTTTCCGCTTCGATGGTTTTTCCTCTTTAAACACTGACTGTATGTAGTGTCCTATCCTAGAATAAAACCTCCAGATCGGTATTCTTCCTCCTTCCACTTTTGGTTGGGCCAAAGGTTTTCCACGATATTGTTTTCTGTCTAATATCATTTGTAATTACTGAAAATTGTTAAACGGAGTTTTCCCGTGATATGAAGAATTATTACTACTTAATATATTATGTATCGTTGCTATGAATTTCAGTTAAAAAGTATCCAATTACAACGGAAATTTCACGTCCCACTAAACTGCAGTAAACGTACAAACGCTAATATTTATTATTTATTACTTAGGTATAAGTTATTAAGTACACTGCGGTCAGAGACTTTTGATTAACGTTTCAAATTTTGTACAAACTTTAAACACGTTTTCTATTTTGAAAACTCACTTATTTTACTTTTATAAGTTTCATATACATGAAATATTAGGTATCGTAGATTTTTTTTTTTTTTTTTTTGCATGAATTATCGTTGGTTTCCGATTGTCCGTTATATAGATGCGTTCAAACTAAATAATAAAAACAAGAAATTAATTTTTATGCATACATTTTTTTTTATCTCTATTCCTACAATAATAATTGCATATTAAAATAATATCTCGAAACCCTACATAAAAAAAGTTGTTTACTATCATAAAAAAAAAAAAATAACAATAATAATATTTAACGTACTAGCTGTAATAAAATTCCTGTTTTTTTTTTCCATTTATACTGAACAAGGCGAGAACTGCCACTACCTATATCGAATGTTATAATATTATCAGTTTAACAATGAAATGTGTTTTTTTTTCTCGGAAAATCCTTTTCGGGACAATAAAAACGTTCATATCATAGTCTCGTACCCATATTATACTTTATAATATATTATATTATATTATATTATAGTAATAATAATATTGAAAACGGAAAATATGAAAAATACTGTAATATTATAGGTTAGGTTAAAATATTCCAAAAATTGTACAAGGGCATAGACAGATATGAGTAGTTTTCAAAATATTTTATTTAATTTTCATATAATATGTATTATTATTACTTGAAAAATATCAAACACACTTATATTCGAATACATGTAAAGTACGCGCGGGCGCGTGTGCTGAAAAAAAAAAATGTCGAGTCGTATACGAGTAGTACAAGTACATAATATTATTATGCTGTATCCGCATTCAAATCGTATATTATCGACGATACGATAAGGTATTTTCATATCGGCTGTATTAGTTATAGAGGTCAACAATAAAATGTCGGTGTTTTCCTGTCTCGATCCCTTAAAAGGTCATCTCATAGAATATTGATGTGTACACGTTTTAAGTAGTCTGGCAAAGTTATATTAGAGTACAATCATTTTTATCTTTATGAAAATCCATTACGAGTAGGTGAATTAATAATAACCCGAGCACTAATAAAACAATTTTGTTTTTTGCGTTTTAATATTTTCCGACGGAGACGACTCCTTCCCCATCCAATGGGCGCCCATGTGTCTATATAATAATAATAATAATAATACTTCGCCATATATTTTTAGAATATTTAATTCAAATTGTTTCTACTACTTTATCCCATAAAAAAACAAAAAAGAAACAAGAACCGATCGAAAATTCCACCGTTAAGTGCTCTGAAATATTACAATCTTTTTTTATTTATTCCGAATTCTGCTATTAGGCCTCTAAGTTCTGTCTCGTCTCATACACCCAATCCTTTGTCATCGTCTTTCAACGTGTTTATCGATTTTTCTTTCCAGGTCGAAGCACTACCCAAGAACTTGTTTTCGTTTGGTTTTCTTATTGGCCGTGTGTTTCCACTCCGTTCAGGATTTCCGGAAGAATCAACGCAACATTATTGTTTTTTTTTTTTTTTCTGTCATTCTCTTGCTAACGATATTATATTGGATTAGTTTTAATCAATTCGGTTTTATATACCTACGTTTTACCGTCCGAATGCCTATATTTGGGATTTACCAATTGGATCAGTTGTTGCGTCGTGCGTACGGCTGATCGATGACCGATGTTTATCTCCTCCCCTTTCTACTAAAGCACAACGAGATAAGTCTGTTTATTTTCACTATATTATATATTTATATAGACAGTCGCAGCCGTCTGCTATATTATCTGTCAAGGGGATTGTCCGCCTCAAGGCAGTACTGCAGTATATTGTGTAGGTATAGGATATACCAATATTACCGTTTGGCAGTTATTAACAACTATACGGATGGAAACTACTATGCTACCTGACGAATCTTGTTTTGCGGAAACCAATTTGTAAGTTTACCTATAGGTATAATATTATGTAGGTAGGCACCTATACGTCATTGATGTGAAGTAGGTTTGCTAATATGCGAACTTTAACGGTAACGGCGCGCAATAAGCTCCGCGATATTATGTACAGCCATTCGCGTATACCTATTTGTCGTTTTGAACAAATTATGTTTTTTCATATTTCTTTTCGCCGTAAGTGCGTTGTGGTTGAAAACCGCAATATATAATATTCTCAACGTATTTCCTTAAATATTCTACCCGTATAATTATGTAAATATATAATATGACGTCTACTGCAATAATATTGCGCGAATATATCATAACACATAAACAAGACGTTTAAACGCGTTATTGATTACGAACATACTTTTATAGTTTCACGTATTAGTTTACGTTGGTTTTCCGCCGAGCTGAGTGAAAAGTTTTTTTTTTTTCACTATCATCATAATATTAGATTAGAGATCGATTGGATTGAATACAGAAAAGACGCTGCGAGTCAATTATCAGTGGTGTATGCGAACACAGCACAAGTCGTACTTCAATATTCTTCCTTGACCAACGTCAGCATTTGTTTTAAAATATACATAAACATTGAGTATATTTGTTTAGCAATTTTATATTTCTACCATATTACAAGAAGCAAAAAGCTTGATTAATTGAATACGAATTGTCTTTTTTGGATCCGGCCTTTAAATTCTCATTTTTGAGTTGGTTAAACCAAAAAAAGGTTTTTCGATTTATTCATGAATCACGATCATTATTTACTACATCCTCACGCCCGTTAGACATTTCTGGGTACGTCATCTAGTCCATCGGTAGGGCCCAACAATCATTACTAATTTATTTTTAATCACAGGATTAAAGTAATATAAAAGCGAGTTCAAAAACGCATACACTTTTTAATAAATCAATTATTTTTGGGAACGTAAACTAACGTGAAACATCAAAAATGAAACATTTCGAATGTTGTCTCCAGAAAAACTGTCAAAATGCATTCGTTCCCATTTTCACAAGAACCGTCCGAATGCCTTGCGCTATGCCGAAAACCGACTGTCGTTTTCGTCTAGACGTACATACGTGTACGTTATATACATATATTAATATATTGCATTATCATTACGATATAAACGGAAATGTTATCGCGTGTCCGTTTCGATGAATACGATTTAATATAACATTATCAGGTACATTGTGTGAAAACGATGAAAAATCAGACGCTGTCGACGGATATTGAATTTACGTTTACGGCAACAAGCGACTGATCAGTATATAATAATAAAGCGAAACAAAAATAGGTATCTGTTATTTATTTATTGTTTACAGGGGTTGTCAAAAAGTCACTCGTCCGTAACTTTTGTTCTGGAAAATATTCCCAAGTGGATTTTTATACTTACGTTTATAAACGAAAGCGCCGGGTGTTTTCGACAAACGGTTTTTGAGTGGTTGGGAGAAGGGGGATCGTCAAAAGCCACTATATTATATTGGCTTTCGATATTTATAATTAAAGTTAAAGTAAAGTAGCGAGTTATGGTAAATATAACTTTGGACTTTCTTCGAAAACAACGCGTGGAATTCGGCAAGTGACTTTTGGCGACCACTGGTCTATATGTATATACACAGACTTTTTCTAATTTTATTAGTGAACTCAGCTCGGGCTTTATGTTTTACGTATATATATAATATAGTAGTGTTATATATCGGTATATTCGGACGTTTTCGTAAACTCCGCAGGATACGTCCGATCGAAAAACTCGTCCGGATATTGTGAACCTTATTATATAATGATGATCAATGTAAGTACACATAAATCCACTAATATCTTGGAAAACAAAATACAATAGTATAATAATTATTTTGTTATTTTGTTTTCGTTCGTAAAAAAAAACAATATATATATATATATTATTATTATTATGTCGCGATCCCCTCCCGCGGTTTTCGGGGCAATGGCCCGAAAAATATGAATCGATTGCGCGCGGAAAAAGAAAACCACCAGCGGTCAAAACCGTAGTTGTCATTTTTAAAAACCACGGGTTAAATTAATCAAATGGTGTTTCAAACGTAAATAACGTTAAAAATAAAAAAAACCGCGTGTTTTAAACGGGAAAAAATTCCATTTTAAAATTAAATTTTACGAGTACAGATATTTTTAAAATACATACATTTTTTTTTCTTTATCGAGAACATTCTCGTTTTAGGCTATACATAAAAAATGTACATACCTAATGTGCGAGTATACACACAATTAATAACCTAAAATTCAAAATTTAAATGTGTTAAAAAAAAAAAAGTGTTCAAACAACAAAAAACTTGTTTCAATCGGTTAAAAATCGCAGAACCCATCAGTTTTAAAGAAATTAAAACCTGGTTAAAAAATTCACTGTTAAAAATTATTTCAAAAATTCAAAAACCTTTTTTACATTGAGAATGTGAGAGCCGTAAATCTGGCGGTAAAGATAATTAATTTACAGCACGTCGACGCTAACGGTTCTGATGTAAATTTTATATTATAATAATCGATTCGTGTGTACCGAATTCGGCTGGCCAGAGAGAACCGCCTGTAAATATTTTAAAAATTCAGAATCAACCACTTACCTACAGCTGCACGCGTAGAAAAAATATTCCCCCTTCAAAAAAAAAAAAATAAATAAATATCGATACCGATCGTTTGCATCGTACACCAGTATAACTCATTATAATATTACAATATGTTCCTTTATATTCATTTTCGTTGGAATCAACGGTGACATCACTTATGGTACCATAAAATATTAACGGAACATTGATTTGTTCAGTGTTATTGTGAACGTATCTAATTTACATAAGCGCATTCGACATTTTAAATTATAGATTTTCATAATGGAATCGGTTAGTTCTTGTGTTTCGATGGTTATAAATAATTGTTAAATTATTATTGCTATCGTATGTCGATTACTATTAATCCGGCTATTAAATCAAAATAATGTAAAACATCGTATTCGAGACTTTATGCTAATTAAAATTCTCTATATCGGCATTGATTGCTGATCACATGAAATATTCGAATTTAATATAACGAAAGAGACACGAGTGCCACATGAAAAGAAGTAGTTAGGAAAATAATTGTGATAAAAAATCTTATCACCATAAAATAAACGAGATAACAATCACGTCTAGTCCATCACATTTCATCAACCGACTTGGAAACAAGGTCATAAAGGTCCTATTCTTAGATGCCATCGGAGTTTAGTTAAAATTAGGACAGGGAAATCGCAGTGTTCGTTTGCTAGGCTTCTATTATATAGCAAACCATTAACCGAGATACAATTATTACAGGTCATAAATCCATGGACCCATAGCTCTCATGTTTAAATATGAATCTTTCTCGCATATTTTAACGATTTTCAACAAAAAAGCATGTTTGGTTATTCTGTGCACACTTCATGCATAATATTTTATACATTTTAGAGAAAAAAAAAAAACAACTTTTAATCTATAGTAGATAATTGTGATTTTTCGTCATTTTTTTTCAGTCGAGACAAAATTAATTAAAAACATATTTTCGTAATATATTATCACGATTCAAGATTAAAGAATTAAAAATTTAAGCGAAGTAAATTAAAGTTTGATTAAATTAATGTATTTGCTGCATTCTGTATGTAACGTGTACCAAGACTAAAAAAAACAAAAATACATATATATTTAATTTATACATTTTTGTGACTCGTAACCAATTTATAATTCAATTTGCCGTAAAATTATTACCATTAAAATAAAACAACTAAACATCTATCAACATCCGGATAATTAATTATTTTAATAGATTATTTTATTGATAGGTATTTAATTAATTTGTCGACTATTTAGATTTTATAATTTAACCTCCTTCATATTTTAGTAGATCGAATAGGTTTCGTTTTTAACACAAAAATTCATGGTTTTACGGTTTTTTTTATACATTATATATTAACCTACTCACGCACAAGATGTTTTCTTAAAAATAAAACATATAAATTGAGAATATAAAATTGCTCAATACCTATCTATTTTGAGAAAAATAAAAAAAAGTTTTTTTTTTCATTTTGACTTACTTAAAACAATATTTTAGTATGTGGTATCAAATGCTACAATAGGATGCAACATCTAAAAAAAAATTAATTACAATTTAGTAGTATCATATGATGCCACTGTGCATGAATAGGTTATGCATATGTCTACAGAAGTTATGCCAACACAATTACTGATTTTTCTTTCTAAAAATTAAAGACATTTTAATTCAAAATACTAGGTAATGATTTAAATAATAGATAGAAAAAAAGAAAAGTGAGAAATGTATCGTTCTAATCTCTTCCGTGAATACTTCATTCTATTTTCAGGGAGAGGATGTTGTGCACAATTTGTCAAATTTACCTCTCGTAATTACTACGCCGCAATTATGATTTCTAGAGATAGAACGTCGATGACTTTTGTATTTATTTCCCCTTTAATCCTCTATTCAATAACGCCAATAATAGCCTGAAATCCATTTCATATTATACTTTGTGTAAATTGCAGAATGTCCTCTAAAGTTATAACATAACAGATTGGAAATTATAATTAGTGACAAATATTTCGTTTTATGTTTTTGTACGCGAATGTTTTCCCGAGTAAAACAACCGCTACTATCGGCGCGGATATTTTTATATTTTTTTTTATGAACGCGGTTAGTTAAAAATGGTGAAAACATTTTACAACGTCGTCATCGGCTTAATAATGATACATGTATGGATTACTGTACCGTTTGTCATTGCGAGTCTACGGTCGTCTAATTAACTCGAACCAGACGAAAAACAAAAACTTAAACATAAAAACCGCATTAATTATTAGAGTTTTTGTTTCAAATTACGTATAAGATTAATAATAACGCGTTTTTCTTTTTCTTTATTTTTTTTAAAATTATTTATTCGCTGACACGTCTGCTGTGGAGTACAGAGTGCATTACTGTATAGTAAAACGGTCGACTTTTTATTGAAGAGGAAGACGAAGACGAAAAGAAACTTTTTTTTCTGTACATTTTTTTATGCTTTATTTTCGGACGATAGGAATGCAAGCAATACAATGATAACAGTTTTTTTTCTTTACTTTTATTAATTATACGAAATCACGCGTAAACCGAATTGCAATATATAAAAATAATAATAATAATAATAATAATTTTTAATTAATTTCGAGCGAATGACGTGAAACCATTAGTCTGAGTAGTTTGACTGTGCTCGCACAGCTAAAATGTCCTGTAGTATTGTTCGGGCGTCTTATAATACAAATTAGGAATAATAATATAATGGCGTTCTATATACACGCGTCATCACATTATTGTTTTACGTTTAAGTGTTTTATTTGTTTTCGAAAATTACGGATATTTCGGAGTTTCCTTATATTCGGGCAGAAATAAAGCATAGTTTTATTATATTATTACGATTATTATAAAATAATAATAATGCGATTAAAAATTCTAAATTTTGATCACCTCGAAATAAATTTGAAAACCCGCCACCGGTCCCCTCAAAAAACACGGACAAAATTCGGTCAAATATCGTTGATTAATCAGTGAAACATCGCATTACGCGTAACTAATTGTAATATTTTTACATTTTCTAAGTCAATGAATCAACTGAAAATTTAGCGCAGTAAAAATTGATTTATATCCTGTCTCGATTCGGGTGCAAAAATTATCGGACTAGTATATTCTTGGCCAGAATAATATGAAATGTATAATATTTTTATTTTAATATACAACAAAAACTAAAAAACTGATGGATCACTATTTGCTATACGCATTAAGATTTTTTAGTTCCCAACATAATTGGTGTTGCACTTAGGTACAAAAAATGGACATATATGACGAACAGAAGTGGAAGGGACTTTAAAATTAATCAAAATTAGCAGAACAGTGGAGCCAATATAGTCCATCTATTAGTTGTTTGAAAAAAATTAAAATTGGCAACTCGCCTCCTATCAACTAATGAACGTAAACCATTCTTGTGTAAAACTGGTTAATAATCACGAGGAGGATACACAATATTTAAAATATTATATTAATTATTGTCATTAGAAGTGTAAAAAGTTATTATTTTGATTACAGGGTGAATTGACTACGGCGGAATTATATTCCCAGTAAATCGCCCTACGGAGAGCCGTAACATGTTTGGGTCTATAGCCGTATATTTACCTGTAAATGCAGAACAAGTTTGGACACTTAAATACAAAATACGAGATTGGGTGTCTCACTGTTGTATAAAAATACTAAATAGCTCAAAGATGATGCAAACAATTTATCCCTCATTGGTCCAATTTTTACCGTTAAAAATATTAGATAATCGTACCGAAATGAGAGAAAATATAATATCTATAATATAAACATCGTGTATCGAAATAAATTATGATTTTAAAACTATGAAAAATAATTACAAATTACTAAACTGTTTTTAAGAGACTTAAAAGAGCGGAATTTCTGGTGTCTTCGATTGATTTTAAAATTGTTACTAACAAATATTATGCCGGAATAATATTAATTTTGAACGTGTTATTTTTGTATGTGTATCTATACGTTATTGGTACTAAATTTTACTTAATAATATTTTAGAGATACCGTGTACCCGAATGTCGTATTTATTAAAACCAAATGTGCTGCGTCCGTACGGAGTACATAACTTTTCTGTACCTAACCAAAATAAATAAATGAGGTACCGTTTTAATTATTAAGTTCCCCTTTTTCTGACGAATTTTTAATTTAAAACTGTATAACTTATAAATATTATTTGTTTAAAATTAACTTTAATAATCGAATTGTCTAATCAAATTTTCGTACCGCAAATACCAATCACCGTGTGCCAGTTTCTTTAAGGTGTTTCTCACGGAATTGTGAGAAAAGCCTAAACGTTATTTTTGGTCTAGAAATACGGCTATGCAAAGCCGTTCAGTTCAAGCAGTTTTTGGTATAAAATGGCAACAACTCCCATCCATCCAAACAAATGTTGCTATTTATAACAGGTATATAATTAGGATTAAAAAACGATATTTAATTTTTGTTTTTAGCCTGGGTACACGTCACATTACACGCAACTATTTCCGGATTCAATATATCCACCTTTGGCATAATCCAAACCACGCCATGCCACTGCACTGGTGCGAGGATATTATTTTCGTCTATATGCACCAGTGGATTTTACGAAGATGGTGTTTATTTTTTCGCGGGTTAACCTTTAGAAAATGTATATTATTATAAAATATTAATATTTCTAGGAAACATTCCGGAATTCCGCGGTGTGATGTACGTAATATCCGTGACGGATAATTGAAATATTCACGCCAACATCGTATTATAATATAAGTGAATATTATTGCTGACAGAGCGTCGCTTTGTTCGCCATTCCGTTAACCGTGTATATACGCGAGCGTGTATTTTTATTTTTTTTTTTGGTCTGTTATTGCTTGTATAATATTATTACTTGACTGGGGATATATCATAATATAATATACAGGGTGATTATTTCATTGCACACCGGCGATTATCTATCTATCTATATTAGTTATACGAAGATTGCGAGTAAATTAAATTTTGGAATATTTTTCTAATCATTCTTACACGTGACACACAGGACATATTATTAAGTACGTACAGAATCATTTTTAGCGAAAGTGTTCCGTTTTCGATTCAGAATTTTGGAAACGCGGTAGGTTATTTGCAGAAAATCAAAATTAAATTAGGTATAATTAATACGTGCTTATCACCTTACGAAATAATTGGCTACGATTTTGAAAATATTATAGTAAATATGTAGAGATCGTCTTTGTAAAACCGTTTCATATATAATAGTATCATTAAAATGCCAGAAAAAATGCGAAAAGCTAAACATTTATTACTCAATGTCTTTGTATACTGCAGATGAATGTGAGTTCATGATATTCACCCTGTACATAAATAATGCAGTTATTATAATACTATAATACGCCACCCGTATTATATTATTATATGGGGGCAGCCGGTGCAGCATATTATTATTATTATTGGTGTCCGAGCTGTTGATTAAATTATCGGCTTTGCATATCATTAAAATATTATTAGATTTATACAATTTGAACGATTGTCGTACCGAAATGCCTGCGGGACATGATATTTTTTTCATTATTTTTTTTTATGCATGGGTATAAATCCTATTTCTCTTTACTAAGTCAAGCCGTTGTGAATATTTAACTAATTATAAATCTACAGATTTCTACTGCTATCCGTAGGTCCCGTCGTCGCCTAGTCGAATTTCGACTGAAATCCATACCAAGGTACCAGTGAGCAAAAACGTTTTGAAAAAACGTGTAAACGCGAAAAAAATTTAAAAAGTTTACGCACATAAAAAGCGAAAATTTCTTACATGTTTTTACTCCCATCATAGTAATTTCATGTGCGTGTGTCACATTGAAACTTGAAAGTTATCTACGTGAGAGACTAACAAACAGTGCCTCAGCTCTTCCCAATGTTGTTTATAACTTGTTGATCTTTGATAGCTTGTTTAATTTGTGATAATTATGTTTATTAAGACCGTAAATCCGCTATCAAAAATTATGTATTATTTTGTATATCGTCTTTTTTAATATACGATAAAAGTATACGATTCTAACACTTAAAGTTTTAAATTAAAATGTCCAATAAAGGTGAGAAGGGTATTTTTAATTTTTGTTATTTTAAACTGAATATTTTTCAATTGGATAATATTTCGGTTCCGGGTATTTTTACCGATTACCAATTAACGATATACGATAGGTACGCCTTCAGATATGTATTATATTTCTGCGGTAGGAAACGGATATTTCGCTGATTTTAAAACGATTTTTTTACTCCCCCTCATCCAGAGAGGGAACTTTATTATTACCTATTATTTTTTATCGTCGACATAAAAAAAAAAAAAAAAAGTTCATTCGTTATTTCGGTCGGAAACTCGGTCGCTATATGGTACGGTAAACTGGCTCCGCGGCCTCCTTCATATCCTCCTGCAATAGCTCCTTCTCCTCTGAGATTAGCATAACAAAAGTCCAATTAATTATTATTCTCTCCATGGCCACAGCGGGTCGTTTCTATTATTTTTTTACCGTTTCCGTTTTTTTCTTTCTTTATACAATTTTTTGTTCACATACTTCTTTTTAGAGGGGATTCTCCGCCCGAGGTCATTCGATTCCGACCACGACGTAGCGTAGCTGGAAAAGGCTAGGTGCACCTGTCACGGAAATTTTCTCTATACAACTCGTTTACGTAAATTAAAATTCGTTTTACTTTTATCCGGGCAGCTCTCTATTTACACGCAAAAATAAATCGAGTATTCTTACATGTTTCGGAGTTTCAAATAGAATCGCGTTGAAGAACACAATTAAATAGATTTAGGTAATACAAAGTTATCGACAGGTAGATTCATTGTATATCGATAGTACGAACAAACATAGTTATGGGCTCCCATTGAGAGAGTGGGCAAGACCGACGCATGTCCCTTTCTAGATGATTATTGATTCACTTAACTTATATAAGATTTTGTATAGGTGTTCTGTCCGTAATTGAAAACCGTATTCAGTTTGTCATAACCTACGAATCTATTACGGTAGCGGTCGTATCGAAACGGATGTTGAAATGTCTTCAAATGTATTTGAACTACGTATATGTCTGTTATAGAGGCGAACGTGGTTTAAACAACGAAGATAATTTTAAACTTGTTGTATTATTCATCATGTTTTAGACGCCTCGCCGACCGCCATATTGTTATACCCAAAAACCTGTGTGCAAAAACAAGTTTGGGGTGTTTTGTGCTGGTGAAAGAGTCGTAAAAACAAAGGTAAATGCGTGCAAAGAAATAATATGCACCCGAATTTTTCGGGTCAGCGGTGACGCGTTCGAGTAAATCTTTTGTCGGCAGTATACGACCACTGCTGTGACTCAACAATACATTATACTATTATATAATACTTTCACTCTCCTCTGTGTATACCGTAATACCTACGTGGTAAAGCAAAGCTTTTTTTTTTTTTTTGATTTTTCCCCTCCATTCGTCTGGGTCATTTTTCCAGCAAATTCACACGTGCTTTATATTATATTATTATAGTACACCTATACTGATGAATTAACCGCATCATTAGACGACGTCTGCAGCGCGTCTGACACGAGCACCTGGATGATTAACAGACCGGCCGAAATTATTAATGAACCGCCCGTTCCCCGTGTTATTGGAGCGGATAGGTAGTAGTTTGTAGAGGTCGTCGCCGTACATTTTTGAAACGAAACGGAGAATCGGTATACTCCTGAAAACAATTCCAGTGCCACGACAATTGACTGTGTACACGATAAATACGTCTATACTTATAATATGCCTCAAAAACCAGCAAAAGCTAACATTTAAAACTGTCTTATCAAACATGTTATCAACCAACGAGTATTCATTTTATTTTTACAGCCACTTTGTTGAAGCTCGAGTATAGTCTTTAATGATAGAGTTAGAAATACGAATTTAAATTATTGGTGCCTCAAACAAATCTTGGAATTCACAGTTGCGGCACTGAAAAAAGCGCAAGTAAACTTCTGTTTCGAACATAATTTCTATATAAGCTAAATATTGATACAAGTACCGTATTATAAATGGTTTTTAGCGAAGAATATTACAATGATATTTTTATACATTTATTTTTGTAAGTAAACATCTCTTTTGTCAGAATCAAAACCTTTATAGAAAATTTCTTGTAGAATTTTTTATCTAATCGGTGCAAATAGAAATAATTTTTTTAAATATCGTTGTTATTTTCCTAATAAAGAGAAAATTGGCAATTTTTACATAATTTGTGTTAATTTTTGGGTTATCGTGATTACAAGAGAAATAATTTGGCTGATAATACTCTGCACAAAATCGTTTTTCGTCAACAATGGTTTTTTTTTTTTATTACGTAGAGACATAAATTAAAATACCTAGTATAAAGTTTCTTCTGACCTCTCTCCGAAAACAATGACACATTTAGTATCGGCATTTGTGTTGTCTTTGTTGCAATTGCAACTAAATTTATCCGTTGATGACATTTTTTTTTAAATTAAAACCGCGTTCAGAAATAATATTATAATAACAAGGGTTTACTGCGTTTTTGTTTAATATTCGAAATAAATAGATTAATAATTTCATACTTTTATTTATTGGCATACTTATTCTTCGATAATTTAACTTTCTCTTTTTCCCGTTACTTCCTCCAGTTTTAAACTATTGGCCTTTTAAAATTTACCTACCCTACCTACATCTATTCCTATGTCATGTTTCTCGGTGTTTCTGTCCCATCTTGGTGCTTCCTCTTCCCCCAAATTGCTTAGTTTTATATTTTAAAACAATAATACATTACTATGGTTCAATAGACAGAAATAATATATAACAAATATAAAGAAATTACTATTCTAAAAGCGAAAAAATACTATTATGTCGAGCAGTCGCGGCGTTCCAATATCTAAATATTTGAATACAAAACCAATTTGAAATCACATAACATTGTAGTTTGGAATGCAGTCAGTACGTATATTGAACAAATCAAAAACATATGCCAAAGTTATATAATTCGTATTTCTTAGATTTTGATCGTAGCGAGTAATAGATTGGTTTTACAATGATGTGTTTTTATTTGATCTGTGAATAACTTTTTAAACAGAAATCCTACTCCGAGATTCAAGTGTACATTTTTTATGAAAGCAAAAATTTTATCTACAAGTATACCCAGGTAGTAAATATTTGTATTTTCTTTGGGGTTTCCTTAATAATTGGGGAAAACCTAGGAATAACGTGAATGTGTCATTATTTTAATTTTGTGTATTTATTGTGAATTGATTATAAATATTTCAGAGACCTAAAATATTCACATAACAATAAAATTCAATTTTTCTAGATGTGAAAGTATTTTTAAAATATTCGGACAATTTTTAGCTTTTTATAGGCATTTGATAATTTTGAATTGTGTTTAATTTTCATAATAACATAACATAAAACATGCGGATAAAATTTATTTTAGCCAAACAGAAATACTTGATAATTTATCAAACGTTTTACTAAGAAGAAAAAAAATAGCTAACTACAGATTTCTTATTCACATTAAAAAATATACGAAATTAATTTGTGGCAAAATAACCATCGCACAGCGATAGAATTAAAAACAATGCGAAGCTCATTGAGATGCAAGTCCTAAAAATAATACAAAAATGCGTGAGATAAATTGGCTGCGTTGTAAATTAAAAAAATTAAAGTAAAATTTGTTGTTTTTTTTTTAAATGCATCTATTCAATTGGAGATGGGCGCTATTTTATTTTCCGTTGCGCATTATGTTCCTATTTACCTGACAAAACCACGTTTTTTTTTTTACTTTTTTTTTTACATTATATCGTGTAAGCGACCTAAATTGGCATGGCAGTATTACAGTATCGATTTTCATGAAAATATACGGAATAGCGTATATTTAAGAAAGTTTGAACGTTTCGGCCGGTTTCGCTCGTCGCGGTGCTCGTATATACGTATACAATGATCAAAGTTTGTTTTTTGAAATATACCGACTGCTATTATATTCTCTATCGAAACTAACACCGTATAGTACCTATATGGTTTTAACATCGGCAGACTTCTACACGTAAAATACAGTAATAGTATTATTAAGTTTATATCGGGTATACATTTCCGCTTAATCATATTATATTGTATGGAATACTATTGAAAATTAACGATTTGAAAGAAAAATCTCCTGGGTTTCGGCAAAATCGTAGGTACCTACCTACCTTTAAGCGAATAATCGGTTTTGTTTAAACTTTCTTTCGGAAAATTACATCGCTCGCGTCCTATAATACTCTCGTCCGCACATCAGACGAAGCCTGAAAAATCGCCGAAAATTACTTTTTTTAAATCGTCCAATGCCCAGTTGATTATAACAGTCGCGATTTTGCGATGCAGTTTTGAGCATTCTCCTGTAACTAGTTATGCACACCAAGTGTTTTAGCGATATTTTCTACTGCAAATTTTTGATAACTGAATGCAGGCTGTTTTTATGTTATTATTTGGGCTTTGTATATGTTAAAAAGTAAAAAATTTAAAATCTAATTGGCCTTTAATTTTCAAGATTATGTAATGAAGCTCTAAAAAGAAAAATTAGCGGATCCGGGACAAGAAAACGAGGACAAGCAATTTTTGAAATATGAGTAAGACACACATTTATAATGAAAATCAAGCTCTGAATATAATTGGGCTTAGAGCACATTTAGGAACGAGCGAGAGGGGGTGATCACCCATGTATTATTTCCCTGATTATACCATTGGGTTTATTATACATTTTACTTAATTATAAAATAATGAACGAAACATGCGAAATGAATACATGACTATTTTTGTTTAATTGTAACTTTGCGACTTTGCGAGTTATGCGTGTAGTTATGTTAAAACGTGTTTACTCCAAGCAAAACACATTATTATTTAATGAATTTTAATATAATTAATTTTATAACATATTAATGTAAAATATGAATTAACGTAGGCATTAATTTGTGAATAAAATAAAATAATTGAACTTAGCAAATTATTATAAAATTTTTTATTTAAAATGGATACAAAATATACATTAATTTTTTCCACTACTACGGTATAAATGTATAACTGTTACACGACAATTGATTATTGATTATTGATATCATAAAACAAAAAAAAAAAAAACAATAAAAAATCCACCTTGTGTTCATAGAATCTTTCTATAAAATATTATGGCAAGTGTATATAGAATTATATTATCTGTTTCCATTTCGACCGTATTCTATACGCCAGAGATAAGCTTTATGAATGTTTTCCATTTTCGTAGAACTTTAAACACAAACCGAATTTACATTTCTCTATACCAAATGATAGTATATGCGATAAGGATACCGATATCGTACGTAAGATAGCTATAGTATAAGTTCGGTAAAGAAACAATCGTTATTTTCAGCACAACCACAATATACATATACATATATCATATGTATACAAGAATTTTATACGATTATATAAAACAAATGTCGAAAAAAATTCCAATACTGAAAATATTTTAACGAGACTGTTCGGAAAATAGTATTGTACATTTTTTTTTTTTTTTGTTTTTTTTTTATATACTGAATTTTTATCATTTATCAAAATTATCGACTAATCGAAAAAAAAAAACGAATAAATCGAAGAATCGATAACTCCGTTTTATAATGTGTTTTGGCTAATTTTAAAAATTGAATTATGCCGAATAATCGTTCAGTAGATCTAAATAGATACTGGGTTTCAGTATCAGAGTGTAATCGTCAAAGGCCTATCGTCAAACTGAAAGATAAAAGATTATTATCTGTGTTCGTAAGTTGGATTTACTTTTCGATATTTCATTTTTAAAAAAGATACACGAGCAACTTATGTATAACAGTTCAGAAATCCTTGCGTCTCGCATGAAAATTAAAATATTGAACAAATTCAACGTGCAGAACAACATACAATATATGCTTACTTTTAAGTTTGATCATAAGCTAATTCACTTTAATATTAAAAATAACGGCGTGAATTTGACATTATTCAATATTCAACATTACCCGTAACATACATAATACATACAATTTATTTTATTATATAAATAAAATAAAACAACAATAATAACCAATAAATAATAAACAAGTCTTAGCGCCAAATCTATTACTTTTCAAAAAACGAAATAATGGATAAAACTACTGTCGTAGTCGGTGAAGTAGTATTACAGGAGTCATACAATTTTCAATCACAATACTCGCCGTATTTTGTAAAACGCCGACTATGAACGTACAAAAACGAGAGGTTTTATTTTTTGTACCTGAATAATTGTGAATATTTCTGAATAATTTCCACGAAAAAAAACATTAAAATCGTACAACGTTGATATTATAATCACCGAGATTTTCATTTTCAAAGCTATATAGGTGTTCTTTAGTATTTTTTTTTTTTTTTTCGGTGTTTATTCCGAAGTCAAGTATCTTGTTCGTGATTGTGACGGCAGCGTTCTGTGGCCAGACGAATATTAATAATACAGAAATGTTAACACGATTTTGTTAAAATATTGCGCGTCACGTTTTTTTACGTGGCCGTAGTGATATAGATTTTTTTTCTTCGACCGGAAACGACGTAGATAGGAATAATAAGAAACGTAATATATTATTCATTTTTATCTCGAGAAGAATATGCTCAAAACAATTTCAGTAAAAGTATATATGTAATAGAAGAACGCGAAAAATGTTTTTTAAATAAAACAACAACTTACAAGTCTTAAGTACCGACCAATCATATTCGCTATAAATACTTGAACCGAGATTTTTTTTAAAATTTTTATTTCAATATAAGAGGTGCCATCGTTTTTTTGCCTCAAAAACATGCGAACAACAACGAGAAAAGCTTTCATGCCTTGTAGAGTGGTTCGATTTCAAAGGTTATTTTTCATTGGAAAGTGGAACACTTTCTACAGACCACTACATTGAACTTATTTTGCAATATTTTTAAACATAAAACTTTACATAAACTTTACATTACGTCTGTAAAAAGATCAAATTTTTAATATTTTAAACCAATTTTTTTATATTATTTATCGAAATCAAATGAAACAACAAAATTCAAAGCAGTCTGGAGAATGTTATTTATTCAAAAATTTTAATGAAAAATCTGTTACTGTTGATAGGTGCGACTCTGAACTGTTGAAGGTGGGAAGTTAAGGAAGTGGGATACGTACAATTATTTAATTTATATCTGTAAGCAACGATAAACCATTGCTAACGAAAAATGATTCTGTGGGAAGTTCAGTTATACTTTTTTGAAATGTCGTCATCAAAATGTTAAAAATAATGTTGAAATTTTACAAAATCAAGAAAAATTGTCAAACATCAGTACTGGGCACCTTAATAGGTAAATAATATATATTTTAAAGGTAATTACATACTGCACGACCGTGTACTGACGTTTTAGATATTATGAAATTCAGACCAGTATTGAAGAATAATAATGTGATTTTAATTCTGTATACCAAATGTTTTTTAATTTGTATACGCACATACAAACTTCAAAGTGTAACATATTAAATTTATTTAAACCACCCCAAATGGTCACAAACAAAAATATAAATACAATAATATTATTATTCCCTTTGATGCGATAAACTATTAAATTCACGGGTAATTGCACCTGTATACCATATTTTAAAACTAGATATACGCGGGAGTAAAAAAAAATCCGAAGTGAGTATTATTACTGGCTGTATGCACGCAGGAAAAATATATATGACCTATGGGAGGCGATTTTAAAACACGAAACATAATAATTATTGTTATACAACGGTTTGTTATTTATGTATAAACTACATTTTATCATTTTCGCTTACAATGAATTATAATTATTCGCGTACATCGGTGGAAGGGGAAGGGGGAGTTTGCTTAGGGCCGGGAAAAAATCGATATTTTCAAAAACGTTTTGTCTCGATACATATCGCATTTCACACTGGTCACGCCGCTATACCGTAGCTACCTATATAGCGACGCGGTCGCCTTACATCTTCTCTCTTGATCCCTGTTCGTATAAAGCTCCTTAACGTGAGTATAAGGTATAACGTTATCATTTTTCTTTGTACGCCCGTCTTTTAGGTTAAACAGGAGTTAATGGTACGCTAAGCTTCCGTACCGTGCGAATTTCCTATAGGTACCTGTATACTTAACTATGGTATATACGAGTGCGTATATATTATTATTACGTTATAGCCTACGAACGGTTCAGTATAATATGAACGCACGTTACAGTGGTGAAATCCTTGACATTTTTTTCCGTTTTTGCACAGCTAGTGTACCGATACGTATATCGGAGATTATTATTTTGTCGACCAACAAAAAAATATGTGACATAGAGCATTGTAGGTACTTACTTATTACAATACCGCTCAACGGTCAATCGTGAGAAAAAATTATGGTCGATGAACATGTTATTTGTAAAACTTAAAGGTGATTTCTACATAAGAGTGTTTACTATATAGTTCGAAATTTTGGTGGCAGACAGAAAATTAGAATAGATTATGAATTTAATAGGGATGAGTATGCTTATTTGAAAAAGTGAAGTGACGAAAAAAAATAAAAGCGTATTATTTTAGGTAGAAAACAAAATGAGAGAAAAAATACTGAGGTGGTATCGGCATATCATGAAAAGAAAGAGGTCAGAAACACTAAGGATGGTAATGAAAATAAACGTAAGAAAGAGGGGAGCGTAAGACCGAAAAATAGGTAGTTGGGATTGAGATTGATATGAGGACGACAGATGTACAATTTAGTGGTCGGGTTAAGTTTAGGGGATGACCACAAATAAATGGGATGAAAGCTAAGGAGAAGAAGAACTTATAATAACCGAATTAATTATTTAAATCGCCTGTTTCTTTATAAAAAATCTATAGAAATTAGTAAACGGTTCACTGTTTTGACACTAGTTTCATTTTGCCGATACCCAGAGTAGTAGGTATAGATTATCTATGGGGTTATTAATTAAAATGAATCGACAAAATAATAAATATTGAAGTCCTAATTCGAACTTGAAAGAAATATAGGTTAATCCTCCCTTACACCTACCCTACTACCATACTGCGCTATATATCCCGTAGGTACAATGTTTCTAAATTATTAATTTATGAAGACACTGCATGATGATCAATCGTTACGTTAAATAAAAAATAGCCAAGTCGTAGAAATAGATTTATTACTTAAGTATCTATTATCTAGTACCTATAATATGTGTATGCCAATAACAATTTTATATTAGAGCATTTTTCATCTGACTTACTTACTACACTATTGTACACTAAACGTGGTCAGTGATGATATCACACTACACGAGTGTACTTGGTCTCAAAATATAAAGCGGAACATAATAAAATGTCGTACTATTGTAATATGTCGTAAATTTGATAAGTATTATCAAATTTAAGTATTGAACACGTACACAATATTCTTATCAAATATAATCTACACTGGCTCACTACCTAAATCAACGGTGTCATTTTTTTTCGCTTTCAGGTAGATAATATGATTACGTGATACTGTCATACTATGGATTTTGAGTTATATCTTGCACAGACGATAACGGATGATAGTAGGCAAAACGCGTGTACCGATGTCAGATAAAGAACGTCATTACTTTATATTAGATAACGTCTGTGGAGCGTGGTTCCATCTTCTACCTCAAACCCCGAAATCGTGTTCCTTTAATCACTATACTCTAATGGTGTCCATCGAGCTACTGACGCTATCACAAAAATGTTCAGGAAAATAATACTATTCACTCATAATCTTTGATCCCATGGAAGAAGGGCATTAGTAAATTCTGTATGTTTTTCAATATAAGCAAATTACATTATTTTTAAAATCGACAAACGCATGCATATAAACTATATACTAATACACTACATACAAGTACATTAATTATGAAAATATATTGTATTTAAGTAATTTAGATCAAATAAAAAATAAAAAAGGGGGGAGACAAAATTACAATAGACGAAATAACAAAAAGAGTGAGTACTGCTGATTTTACTGTTGTAGGAGGGAAGTGGGGAATACAGGATAGTTAAATTTAATTAATTTATATTAGTACGAAACGGTAAACCATTGAAGATGAATACGACTCTGATTGAAGTCGAAAATAATGAAACTTGAATTGTCGTTAATTTTTCCGATTTTCCAATACTAACGATTTGTTCCCAATTATCGTGTAAAGTTTAAAAATAAACGTGACTCCGTCAACACACAAACTAGATCCGTAATACTAATAACTGTTTTGTTTATTAATAGTGAAATTTCTGGTAAAACAGTTGTTTACAAACACACACAAAAAGAGAAAAATCACACAAAATACAATAAAAACGATCAATTTCTCGTTGCGTTCAGATTATAGAAAAAAAAAAATATTACTCCAAAAGTCCACTCAAGCCGCTCTTTCCCGGGATCAAAGGCGTTAACGCGGGACGTATTTTTTCCGCCCGCACTGCGAATCGTTGTCATTTGCTCGAACGCGACGATTGGTCCGAGAGCGTTTAAACACGTACATCTATACCCAATCAATAATATTATAAACGTATCGTTTTATCGTGTACGCAATATAATATTATTATTATCGTTATGGGTGCTCAATAAATCGGGTTATATACGACCGTTATAATATTATTGTTATTGCTGATGCGCCCCCTTAACGATATTAACCATCCGGTTCATGAAATTGATTGCCGGAGAGAGTTTTTAAAATATAAAACCCGACGCGCGTATAAAATAATAAAAATCCAATCAAATTCAATTATGTTTATTCTCGCGTCATCCGCGTCGTTGTTAATTTAACTATATATATATATATATATTTTTTTTTTTGTAATATTACATAAAATATAATTACGTGCGAGTATTTAAAACGAAGTACATTTTCGTTATTACCCTGTCGTTAAACGATTTATCGGCACGTCCCCTACCCCCCCCCCCCCGTATGGATATAATTCCGAAAATTGTCGACTACATGAAATTGGAAATATACTGCAGAGTGTAACTGGACTATTTGACATTTTCGCATGCAACTACAATGTAAAAATGTCAAACAGTCCCAACATTGTTAGCAGACATTTTTTAAATACAACAATATTATTTGATATTGTTGGACACTTTTTGGACATCGTTGAAGCTTCCTTTTTAACATTTTTTTTGAAATTAACATTCGAATCCATAAAGCCGCGTGCTTAAAAAATCCGTGTACACGATTAACTATTCGCGTGTGCACGTATATTCAGGTATTTCACGTTATTTCTCGCGTATTTTCACTGCGTATTCACGTGCATTAATAACGTATAAGTATGCGCGAGTTCAAATATTGTTCATTCACGTGTACACGGATTCCATTTTCACGTACTTATTAATTCGCGTTTTCAAACAACACATACGAAAAGTATACAGGTGGATTATTTTCCCGGAATCGATGCGTTCAAACAAAAGATGCCTACGACGGAATGGAAATATAGGTACGTCACGCAGTTATTTCATTTTTCACCGAACCTACTCGCAATAATACGTCTTTGCGGGAAACGTCTCGTGAATCTCCACGAATATGCAATTTCATTACGCAAACATCTCGAGTTTATACATACAAAATGTATGACTGCACGCCGCCGTATGACAGCCGAATTACAAGTCCGTTTATATATTTATACGTAAACGGTTCATTTAAACATTTATCTATAAATGTGTATTATATTATTGTGCATTATTGATAATCCCGAACGTGGATCCGGATTGAATATTTATCGGATACCTACAGCGAAAACGAATTCTCGTCAAACCATCACCGCTGCCGCCGCGCCGTCACTCCGTAAATATTATGTATATTTCATTATGCGTTAACAAAGTGTAAGTATACAATCCTATAAAAGCCTGTAGCGACTGTTCGCGCGATAGGTGTCGACGGCGTTGTGTTAAGACACATTTGAAAATACATGTCTGGACGAAGAGATTATTTCACGAATAATAATAATATCTCTATCCTAGTCACATATACAATATAATGATAAATGACTATGATCTATGCAGGGTGTCTTACGAATTTATGCTCGTTGCGATATCTCAAAAAGTATATATACAATAAGGTTCCAGTTATTTTCGAAGTTGAACAATTTAAGTAGTGTTGGATGGAGATTTGTTTCAGTCCACTTAAAAATAAGTCTCCTAAATTTTAAACTCAATTAAACATTTTGTAACAGGTGTCGACTTAAGCTCAAAGTTCAATGAAAAAGGGTAAATTGTTATTTTTATAATATACATGCAAGTATACATACATTTTTTTTTTTTTTTTTTGACAATTGTAGAAACAAACAACTCTAGTTTGTTACATTTCTATTAGATATGTCGCCCTCATTTTTGAGAGTGCAATGACTATACCTACTTTTGGTTATCAAATGGTAAACTAAAATTAAACAAAAATGTACAAATAAATGGAATATCGATTTAAATAAATGTCGATGTAAAAATTTTTAATTTCCGTCAAGCCGTGCACATTCGAATTTCTTAAATTTGCGTTAGGTTAGGTTAGTTAATATGCACAATCATGTTATAATTGCGCATATTACATTATCGTTATTTGACGTTATTTAACGTACTGCATGCAGTAGAACATTGGTATTGACCCATCCAAATTGACATCAACGAAACATAACTAAAATTTCTTAAAAAAGTATAAAACTAAAATAGAAAACAAAGTTTTCATTTTTTAAGAACCGAAAAGTGACTGAAACCTAAATTGTTAATATTTTAAAGACCGGACTTGAAATGTCGGTTTTCTTAATAACCGAAAAGAAACCGATACCGAAATGTTAAGTTTTTTCAGAACCGGCATCAAAATCTGAACCGCTTTTTTATTTTACTTGGAACCGAACCGGAACCAGAACTACAGTATTCGTTAAGGTTCAAGTCCCTGGTATTAACATTCGTGGAAAAACACCGTATCTACACGTCGTGTGTGTGGTTTTACACTGTTATAAGGGGTGTGCTCGTAAAATAATATTATTAATAATACTACACGGTATTACCGAGCGAATTTACTTTCGGCGAAACTTTATCAGTTCGAGTATATACACGTACACAAATACAATATACGTGTATTATATTGTATAGGTATACAGGCAGTTGCATCGGAATCAAACGAAAAGGGGTAGTTACGTACCTAACCTAAATATTCGATGTTGTAGGTATACTCGAGAACTCGAGTATAATAATAATAATTATCGTCGTGGTATGAAATTAATATTTTAGAAGGTAGTTATAATATTATTACCGTATACCGTAGCAGAAAGTATATAGTTAAGCCCGCGCGCGCGTGGTTATAAAGGTTATGATTAGGTCGGATTATAAATATATATGCATAGGTATACAGTTTTATTGCTCGGCCGCGGAAAATACGACCGGGGTCTTAGCCATGGCTCTTAGACGTAGTCTAATAGTAATTTGTTATCGGAATGGGTATTATGCGGACTTGAAAAAAATCTCACGGGATCCGTTAAAGTTTCACGAAAACAATAAACCGCCTCGTACGGCCACCACAGTTCGTCTTCGGCATCAACACCACCGAGAAACGTGTTAATTATTGAAAAAAAAATATTAATAGGTTTCACTCGAAAATAATGTCCAGTTTTTTTGGTGCATTAAGATTATTTTAGATTCTGAGCGTAGCGTTTAATGTATATTTTATAATCAATTGTTCAACTACGACTTGTACTTTTTGTAATTCTTGTTGTTCGGGTCTATAAAAAACGTTCTCTACCTGAAATATTGATCTGATCGAAAAATGACGAGTAAGATTTTTTATGTAATATTTTTGATTTCGTAAATGTATTGAAGATATATTTATTTTAATTTCCAAAAAGTTGTGGTTATTTGGAAAAAACGGTCAAATTTTCGGAAATACAAGTTCCATTTTTTAATTTTTTTTTTCTAACGGAAATGTAGTTACAAAATAAGTATCTTTTATTTAGACCGGTTGGTAAGCATGAAATCGTTTACTAATTTTTAGTACAGTTTTCTTGATATTTGTGGAGGGCCGAGAAAAGCGGAAAAGTTTACGGCATAAACGAATTCGGTTTTTTTTATTTAATGTAAATCGGTTGAATACAATTGTTAAGAAATACTTTTTATTCAAGAATCACGTATAATGACATTATAGTATTCAAACGATCAAAACAATCTGAAAAAGTTTCGAGCTATATTTTCGAGTTTTTTTTAGTTTTTATTTGGTTTGGTGCGGATACAATTATTTTGCCGAACAGAAATGCTTGCAAATAAAACACAAGGTTCATTATAAGTTGTGCTACTTGTACTTAACGGTAAGAAAAAAAAACATCGAACATAACATAGTATTTTTGTAATTATAAGAGTTTGAAGTTGACATTTTGACGAAAATCGTAAAAATTACGGCGTTTCAATATACGTTTCACCGAGCTCAGAAGCGTGTGCTATCAGCAATGATTCGTCGTCGTGTACAGATGTAAATTAAACGACTTTGTGCGTTCTATTTTTTTGACTACCCACCCACAAACGAGGCACGCCCATCAGTCGTATAGGCTCCGTTTTTTTTCAAACCAAATGCGTATTTCGTATATGTTTATTAGTATTATCAATGATTGACCGTATCAAAGAGTTATAACAATATTGTTGACGAAACCCGAATTAAACTCGTTTAATTATAATCCCCCTCCCCGGCCTCCAACAAATCGCACACTGAAAGTAATCCCTGTACGTCATTACTGTTGCATTGTCACGTACAACTTATAAAGGGGAAAAAATATCAAAATTAAATATTTAGTTATTTATACGTGCGAAACTAAACAAGCCCGGTTTAATTAATATTAAATGCACCGCGAGACGATAATGAAAGTGCGAAACTAACGGAGAAAAAAAAATGAAAAATAATAATTAATACTAATTTTAACTAACCTACCTATATGGTATGCATAATTTTATAACGCGTAGGAAATGATGCTTTTTAAGGGTATATCGTATTATATTATAATGCATTAATCGTTTTCCCTGGAAGACCCTTTCTCCACCAAATGCACACACACACACACACACACACACATGTAACACAATTAAAACAAAAATGTATACCCCGAGAGTTGTAGTCGTTAACGTACTATACACAGGTAATAAATGTTATGAATATTTTATAACATTCTACAGCTGATCTCGTTTAGTAGGTAGGTTAGGTATATAATTAAACGCTACAACTTCCTGCAAAATATCTAACGTTTTTAGATTCCGAGCGCAGCGAGAATTCTATTGGTTTTACTATGATGTGTGTTTTCGTATTTTTTTTGTTCGCGTCTTAACAATTTTTTTACCAGAAATCTTGATTCGATCGAACATTTAGGAGAGATCTTTTTTTTTGGATTTAACGTGTGAATTGAAGAGTTCGTATTTTCTGCAGTTTTCAAAATAACTGAGAAAAACCGGAATAAGACGTAAAATTAAAACGGTCAGTATTGAAAAAATGTACAGCGTTTATTTCATTACTTTAAATTTGTACGGTTTATGTTTGCCAAACGTTATTTTAGTAATTTCCACCGGTAATATAAACGAATTAATGTATTTCAGCATAATTGCTGTAATAAAGGTGATATACGGTGGTATACGCCGTATAACTTCTGATAATTTCGAATAAAAACCGTATACTTTCTGGATAAGGCCGTATTTCTGTTTTAAAGTGAAATTACGAAAAACAATATACAATTATTGATTTGTTATTATTATTATAATTTTTTGTCGATTATAAAAATTAAAACTACTTAACCACGACGTAAATTTCAACTGCAAAACAAATAATTTATATAGAAAATACATTTTACAGTAATTCAATGTAGATTTTAGACAGTGAACAATCGACAATCAAATAACATTAGAGCCCTTATCTCTGTACTGAAATAAATAGAAACCGTTGCCATCGTTGTATAATGTATTCATAGCATTAAAAAAAATGAATAGATACCCAATCTTTTCTCTGAAGTTAATAAAAAAAACTAAAAACAATTCCTGATACATCTGTTGTGTTACCTCGGTTACCTTGGCTATAGAATGGGATAAATATCGCGACTAATAGTACTCCGATCAGAATAAGTTTTTAATTAAAATGAACTGTCAACAAATTTTGGAAATCACTAGTTTATTGGGTACTTCCTTTATTTTTAATTTTTTCATATATATTTTTTGCTTTATATCCTGCATATAGGATATAATAATATCCTTCTACTTATTTATGACTACAAAACTGATTTCAGTGGACCGGAATAAATCGTTTTATAAAAGCCATTATTTCAGATTAATTCCTAGCACCTGTAGGTTTATAACGAGTCCAAATTCGTAACCGACAAGTGTATATGTGTGTATGTGTATATATGTGTGTGTGCAAGCGCGCCCATCAATGTTAACTTGTTCTTGGAACAAAAGTCTTTCAAATTCGATTAAATCAAAATTCATTTTATGTCGTTTTTAAATATTAATTCAATTTTAAAAAACCAGGACTACATCCACTCCTCAACGGTGATGATTAAAGCAAGATTTCTGGATAACAAATCATTATGTACATACCTCGCTCTCTATGACGTTACTGATGGTATTTTATAGTACGTTTTCCTGATAAAAAAAATCAAATAATTCGCTCAATCGCGGTGCGGAAAGGACGCCTGGAATATATTAATTCCCGGAGGAATATGCAAGTGTGCCGCAGCAGAAAAGGTATGTATATATGTATATATTTGCGAGTACCCGGAGGGGATCGTTCTCCCGAAATGGTAATTATCACATTTTAGTACACTGCAATCAAATAAACTATAACGATATACATAATATTACGAGCGTATAGAAATAGTAGCTCAGTCGCGGTGCTGCAGTAAACAAAAGTTTCGAAACTTATACCACGAATTATTCACGACTCGATTTAAATACTGATCATTTTGCTACGCTGCGCTTCGCGAATTGACATCCTAAAGTAAAAGCAATATCCGTAGGATTCTTAAAAACTAATATTAAAACGATAAGTTTAACCATGTTACATAAGATATACTACACCGCTTGTTTGCTTCTAAAAATCCGAAATATCGTTCGAGTTTAATAATAATTATTTATTAAATACATAAAAAAAAACCTATTGCAGTGTAAAAATTTGAAACGATCTGCAGACATCGGCCAATATAATATATCCCAGAGGTATACAAAATGTGATACATGGTTATTGTTCCAAAGAAAAGTACCTAAGCTCAACGATAAAAGATCCAATAAAACGCATCGATTAGAAGCAAAACAAAAAAGTGCTGATACTGGGGACGTGTATTCCACTGATTGACGTGGCAAGTTGAGAAAGTAGGATAAATAAATTTATTTAATTTATATCTGTAAGTAACGATTAACCGGTGCTAATGAAAAACGTTTCAAAGCGAATATCGGTTATACGTGTTTTTAAAGTCATAATATTTACGGTTTATAAATAATGTACATTTCGTAAATTTTTCCGGGTTTTCCCATGTATAAGAAAACTCCTGAAAAATCAAAAATAGCCTTCCTTAAGTATTGTCACAGACAGATGTCCTTTCAAAAAAACTACTACTACACTAGAAAATTCGTGCGAATTTCTGGTAGAATATGTGTTCTCAGATTAATAAAATAAAAAACAATACGTTTTTCACTTCGCTCAGAATCAAAGATATTTTTAAAAAATACTAGGTATTTTACGAAGTAAAAATAGCCATATTTTATTATAATTTTATAAATTAATAGAAATTCTTCGTATGTGATTTGGTGTACTATTATTATTACCTACTGTTATATTTATGATTTACGTCTATGTGTTTATTTATAAAATATTTTTTTATTGACTAAGTAACTTTACGAGTATTCAAGTGAAAAATGTATTATTAATAAACGTAAAATGCGCCTAAACAACCATTTCTTGCTGTAAACTGCACCCGAATCTATGTTAAAAAGGTATAATGAATACGGCACCCCGTTTACAAATGTAAAACTTTTTAATTAAGAAGGCAAATTTTTGCATAATTCATAAATCTTTCGACAAAATCTTTCAGATATCTCAATTTTGTATATGATTATTGGGCATATTTCTCAATTTTCACGGGTTTTTTATTTTGGTATATTTGATATTTAAAAAAAAAAAATAATGTTTACTTTAATTGCCTATGATTTTATTTTAAAATTATTTAACGTGGTTATTTATTATTTTCTATAGACTATTAATTTAACGATCCGGGGCGTATTTAATCTTTATCGCACTAACATTATACGATATTATCTTTCGTATAAAACTCGTTTATGCCTTGTATTTATTGGTGTATGATTGAATACTGTGGGGCAAGTGTATTTTCCCCTGTCAGTCATTTTTTAATTGCGTTTATTTTTGTTTTACTCGGACGCAATTTCCATGTCACCTTTTTACCCTTGATAAAAACTCGGGTGCCGTTTGCACACGTGATTTTGTGTTTACCTGTACTTTGGGCACAGTTTACAATCGCCGGATACCACTGAAATAATTTATAATCAGAAACGCGATGGTTTTGGAGTTTTTCGGGCACGCGGCCCCGCGGGTTGTTGTTACATGCATGTTCTGTCGTTTATGCATTATCTATGGTTTAAAAACGCACGCGTCAGAGCAACATCATGTAGTCCCTAAATATTTTATTCGGTTCACCGTTAGTCCCGATATTGTTTTGTTCCATTAGCGTTTAGTCACGGGCCCGTGAATTACGGTTATGCAGTGTCGTTTGATATCATACATTTAAAAATCAAATTGTTCGTTACGAAACGATCACGCTGAAATACCCGCAGTTGGTCCGGACGACGTGCGTCTGCGTTTCTCCTACCTAACCTAACCGAACCCGACAGCGTACTGTGAATTGTCGCTCAAACCCCAATCGACGCGAACAAACAGCAAACGATATTTATAAAACCGTATTCCATCATATGTTATCAGAATAATAATTGTATTGGTCCCGAATTAGTTTATTATTTTACCGTTATGTCCGCGGGATTCCATTACGATTGTATTAATATCCATACACACCTATGTCAATAAACTGAAAATGAACTCAAACGTTCGTAACACCAAAACGTAATCCGTCCGCATATCAAATTGACAATAATATAATGCAGTCGTATTTATTATGTTCGAGTAAGTACACGTATTATATGTGTATATACCTTTTATATTATTATTATTATTATTATTAATCAATATCGTATATCTGCGGATGTAATTTTATAATATCGCTCGACGCGCGCGTAACCGTAAAATAAACACCGAAAGGAAAACGATTAAATTCTGTATTCGTAATTAATCATAATAGTACGCGTCCTGCGGACGATAAAAACATTATATTTACGTCGAATTTACGCGAACAAATTGAATTTCTAGATAACACGTATGATTTATTTATGCATTTATCGTACGGTTTGAATTTAACACTATGTATGATAATACAATTACGTATATGATGTACATGACCGATGACTGTAGCGGCGAAACGAAACTAAAATAATCTAGAAGCAACGTATAATTTTACACATAGTACCGATCCATCAATATTCCCCAATACTTCATAATATTTTCTACTAGTTTTCGAATAAATCAGAAGTAAACGAACACCAAGCAATATATTTAGTTATTTTAATACTGAACACCCGCTCTCGAATTTTTCCCGAAAATAGATCCTATCGAACTGTATTTTGTCGGTTGAACATCACGTAATAGAAGTTATACAATTCGGGTCGTATTTCAATTTTATAAACTCAATCACATTATCGCGGGTGGAGTGTCATTTTTTAGCTTTGTACACTGCTGCAAATTTCCAAAATGAATCTAGGACAGGTATCGGGAACCTTGTCGTGTAAATAAGCCATTTTTAAAAACCCACAATGGTTACGGTAAAAAAAATCTACTATAGCACAAAAAACGTCTAATATATTTTATTAAACAATTTCATTGGGAGTCGGTAGTTGATCAAATTTTAATTTACATTTTATGGGTCTAGTCTAGAATGTCTAGATATTTATGCATTTTCCGAAGAGCCATAGATTGTATGTTAAGTAGCCGCAGGTCCCCGGCCCACGATCTAGGATGTATCTTATAGAAGTTTCAACATTAAAATTCTATTGTTACCGTTTATATGGCCATATTTAACTATTATTTTTAAAAGTATTATAATTGTAGTGTTATGATATAGTATTTATAAATTATTACATTATTATTATTCTTCCGTAATCAATCCGAGGATTTTGTTAGTAGCAACTCTACATCATATCTTATTATTTGTCTTCCTTTGCATTTCTTCACGCGAATTTCTTGGTCTATTATTATAGCGTTTGTCTATTTGGTGTTTTACAAAGAACATTTCTATTTTACAAATTAGATCAGTGAAAATTTGGTTCTCCTCTGCTGCCCGTGAATGTTTTCCTAGAATTTCGACTTAACATTATTAATTATTATAGTTATTACCGATATAATAATAGTTTAATATTATTAACTAATAAATAATTATTTAAATATTTATATTATACCGTAATTTTGACACTAATAGTAAATTATCCCTAAAATTTCAAAAATCTACGTATGAAATTCAACCGACCAGTCAGCATTTCTTTCCGCTTTCGACGGGCTTGGTCGGTATTTTGGGTATTTTTTTTATTTATTTATTTTTTTTTTTTTAACGCATGTTACATTAATATTTTAACGAATATATCAGAAATATACTGAGCCATCAGATTTTCCGCACACTGAACACGGTTATAACTATTATGATATAAAAATTTGGTAGAGTGAAAATAAAAATGTCTTACTCGACAGTATATAATTATCCATGATGTTTGAAATGAAATCCGCTCCGTTGTAAAATTGTTTTATTAAAAAAAAAAACAACAACAACAAGCAATGGCACCAAGGTAGTCGAAACGACCGTGAACCGCATGTCATTAAAGATAATTACGAAATTCACAAGCCCACGCGGATATTGTAGAAAAAGTATACAGGTGCATGATAATCACTGAAACATTGTTCTACAATATTGGTTTATGTAAATTAAGAGCAGAGCTAGTTTGATTTTACTATGATGCGTTATAGTTTAAATTAAAAACCGTAAAAATTAGGGTATTTAAAAACATATATAACAGAATTCGGCTTACGATCTTTTTTCGTTGCTTAAAAACGAATTAAGTCAATAAGTATATGTATACTATCTTTCCAAATTATTTGTTTTCAATTGTGAAAATTCCATGTCGTGTACAATAAACCACAACAAATCGCTATACGTACATTAACGCGTTACTGCGTTAGGTATAACTACACGTAGATTCTACCCTTATTTTTTGTAAATTTATAAAAAGACGGTTTTTTTAAATTTTTGTTTTCTATCAAAAATCAAAATATGTATTTCAAGAATAAAATTTGTTCTGAAATACAATTCCGTCCAACTATATAGCGTGTATGACAGTCATTTCTTGGATTTTCCAAGCAGTTTTCATAATATTTTTGAATAATTAAAAAATTTACTGGGCTAAAGATTTCGTCAATTAAATTTGTATTCGATTTGGCTTGTCTACTAGAAATCTTATTGTCAATTTAACGTGTGCCCATTCATTTCTTTCGAAAGGACATTTTCTCTATTTAGTTCAAAGGAAATGATTTTTATAATTGAGAAATACGGAAAAATTTACAGAGATAATGGTTTCATTATTTTTGTTGTTTTTTTTTTAATTTTTCGATAAGACCCGTGGGTATACGTGTATTACATCGAACGTGAAAATTTCCACTTTCCGGTTATTTGACTGCGTTTTTTTTTTTTTTTTTTTTTTTTAAATTTTATCACGTTTTATATTGTTTGTGTGTGAGTGTGTGTATGTATGCAGGTGCTCACATATGTCAAACGTTCAGATATGGTCGATGTATAATAATATACAATACATACTTTATTTACGTTTATAATATAGCGCACGACCGTGCGAGTATAATTTACGACGGGAAAAGAAAACGGGACGCGATATATAAAGAAAAGCAATGATAAATATAGCGTATAAACACTTGCAGTATATTAATCTATATACACATAAACGAAGAGTGGGAGTGGAAGTAGCAGATGTGTTATGCGACCCAAAAGGCCAGGGTAAATTTTTCGGTTTCCGCTATCGACAGCGACAATAAATCGTCACGTATATCCAGGGGTTAAAGCGTTTGGGGACGGAGCCCTCCTTCTTGTTTGAAGTAAAATTATCAGTCCCCTTTGGTTTAAGTCTTCGAAAATTGGGGGGGAGGGCGCTTTAGATAGGCAGAACACGAGTGTGTACGTTTTTCGATAGGTTAAAAAATACTTAAAAAAAAAAATCAACACGGTTGCGTATGGATTCGAGTGCAACGTTGTCAAATGTAATATCCTCAATAATTACCTAGTACAATAATATGATCCGAACTGTAAAATATTATTACTGATAAAATAGTCAATAAATTAATTAAATCATAGTTAAACAATTAATTATTTTAAAATATCTGAGTTTTTAATTTCTGAACATCTATAACCTTATGCATTCAAATATGGCAATATATTCGTATGGACATTATACTCTTTATAAGCCTTTATAACATTTTGAAATCGAATAAAATAATATGAGAGAGGGGGCTCGTCGTGTTATAATATTATAAAATTATACACCGCAGCGTACAAGTATCGCGGATTTTTTTGTCACCGTTGTTTTGTGTGTTTTCGAACCGAGGAGAAATTTCGTCCAAAAAAAAAAAAAAAAAAACACCCCCGCTTTTTACGAGTGTACCGGCCTCGTTCAATTAACTGTACAAACACGGTCGCCGAACGAGACGTCTCGTCGTGTTGACCGTTACATTCACAAAACGTTATTCGCAAAAGTGGTGAAAACAAATACTGTATAAGCAGCTGCAGGGGCGTCGTTTTAAAACTACAATATAATAGCTCCGGGTTCCATCCTCTCGTCCCTGCGCGACCGTTGTGTGTAGCATCCGATGAAATCCGCACTCTTGGCGCCGGGAACGCTGACCGATCGTATACATCTGTCGCAGGGATGCGGGCGAAAACCCCGATGTTCCCGGCGACGATCGGCAAAGTCCGTAGACTATGGGATTTAGATCGAACAGTAATATAACGGTCCCTTGGCACGCGAATTTTCTGCGTTCGAAAACATATTCTGGAATACTATACTAACGCACGAACGGCCGACGAATTCCGCGTGACGAAAAATTCGATACATGAATAGGGACAAATATTGGTTGTTTTTTTTTGCTTGTTTATCTTTTCGGTTTTATTTTTAAATTCTTAGCCGTTTGAGAAACGTATTGGTTTTACTACGACGCCGTGAGCTTTGTTTGTTTTTTGTACTTCTGTTACAAGATTTTTACCGGAAATCTCACTGCAATCATAAAATAAATAGAGATTTGCGTATTGCATTATTATTGTTATCTTTATGTTGACCGATACCGTATTATTCGTCGCCATGGAGTTGGTCATAAATTGTTTAACGAAAAAAAAAAATTTCATTCAATAACTCTGCTACCGAAATAAATAAAATTATCGAGAATCACTATCAAGTTCTAAATTTATTTTTTTTTACTCTAACTCGTAACATATTTTAAACGCACACCACACGTGACATGGACACTGTAGAAAATTGTATAGAAGAAATAACCAATTCGCTACACAAAATCGAGGATCCCGGTCAGCTGCAGAACGTACACCGTTGGGTGATTAAATTGACGACGGGTGAGCCGAACGGGCTCAAGGAGGACTATCTCCGATTGTTAGAGTACACGATCAAGAGCGGCGACCTCCGAGAACCGTTCGACAGTCCGCCAAAAGAAGGCCGACTTCCCGGTCTGAGCGAGCTCGTCCGCAGGCCGTCCTCGCCGTCGCCCTGCAGCCCGGAAGAGAGAAACCGTTCCGCACTGTCCGCGGGCGGTTGCGGACTCCCGGACTATGTAAAAGATTGTACCGCCAAAGATAGAACCGGGCCAGAACCGTGCCCGGAGCTGGTCGGCATCATCGAGCAGACTAACTGCGAAATCGCGTCGCTGCAAAGGTTCATGGCAGACGTACAACGATACACGTGCGACGGCGGAAAGCTGATGGAACAAGTGTGCGGCCAGATGATGGACGACTACCTGCAAGCGGCCGAGGCCGTGTTCGACGACAGGGCGCAAAAATTGAGCGACTCGCTGGCCAAGGAACAGGTCGCGCTGTTGCTCCGGTACAGAAACGAGAAGCAGCGGATGATCAGCAGGGCTCAGATACTGCTGGACTACGTGCGCGAACTAATGCCCAAGTTCATACACAGCGAGTACATAGTTGAGCCGGAAGCGTACATGAAACGGCTCATTATGGAAAAGAAAAACGCTATTTTGGCTAAGAATACGGACGGCGATGATAAGAACTCGACGACGTCCGCCGAGCAGGCTGACAGTTCGGCGACTGACATAGAACACAAAAAATTGCTGTCGGCGCTCGTTTGGTTGCGGTCAGAAGAGGACCGGTCCGAGTGCGAAAACTTGGCGCTTGTCGAGCGGTTCGAGTCCATCGTGGTCGCCATCGACGCGGCATCCAGGAGAAGGACCGCCAACGAGTGTCAGGCCAAAACCCAGAGGAGCGAGTTGAGATGCGAGTTGGACAGTCTGCGAAAAAAGTCCGCCATGCAGGTGGCGCAGATTGACGACTACGTGGACAAGATTAGTGCGGAAAAGACCGAATCTAGACCCTTGTGCTAGCAAAGCGTTTGTAGTGAAAAATTTGCAAATTTACCATACAAAATTATATACGTGATGACTTTTTATGAATTTTGCTATTTCTCGACCTAACCTATCGGTTTTTAATAGTGGTTGTTTTTTTTTTTTTTTTATGTTTAGATTCTAAAAGCAGCGTAAAACGTATTTGATTTACTACATCACGTGTATTTTTTTTTCAGATTCTGAGCGGAATTTTAAAGCGATTTATTATTTTTGTTTTTTTCTCCCATACGAGAGCGTATGAGATTTTGTTGACTAATTAAACGACATTTTGACAATGTTAGAAGTGTCTTAATGTGAACCTATATTTTACATAATCTATTTGAAAATAATAACTAATAAAAAAGTATACTCTTCTAGGTGCCAAATTTTTACTAGTACATTTTACGTCAATTTCAATGAGCTATCTAAAATTTCTTATTTGACATTTGGACTAATTTAATGTGACAGCTAATAATACTGATTTGTTTATGGGCTTAAGTTCTCTCGTGAATTTATACACATAATATTTGGTACTCGACGAAATGACATTAATCCGTGTGTTGACATCGAATATTACTAGGGCCCGAATTTGAATGAATACGAAAAAGGGCGTAAAAATGATCAATAAGCCTTGAAAAACCCTTAAAATAATATTCAATAAAATCAGAGGGATATCACTTACATTTTTTCTAATTAATTTCCTTCCGATTTATTTAATTCCTAATAATTATATAAAATATAATTGTTCATTTTTATTATATTTGATAATTCATTTTTGTAGCGTTGTAAAATTGTATTTACTTAATAAGGGCTGTTAGAGAGGATATTTTTTAAACCTATATAAACACAATTTGTTGCTATTTAAAAGGCTTTTTTAATATCTTACTTGCCATTTTGAAGTGCTTGTTTTGTGGATTTTAAATGCATTTAAATCTGGGCCCTAATTATTACCGAATATCTATTGTTGACGTTCTTCTAACCGATGGGTTAGGTCACCCACTAAATTTCCACCATGACACCTAGGCGTCTTGAACACCCCTCCGTCGAGACATCAGCTACTGGAATGGCTATTAAAATGAAAAATAGTGGGGGAGGGGATACCACGATACAGTAACGTCGCTGTTTCCGACCGTTGAATTATTATAACGATAATAATAGTAATATGTTCGATAAATATTTAACGTACTTCGCCAGCAATTTATCAAAAAAATTAATTAATTTTCAAATTAAAAGCGGTTCGACGTTACGACGACGACGTCACGGGCGTATGTTTTTATTTTAAAAATCGCACAAAGAATGCGGCTATCGACATTCCCGGGGGTCCGCGTACAGGCCCGCGCGGACGTGGGACTCGAGAGAGACCAGCGAGTTCGTTCACGTCAGTATATTGTTAATCAAAAAAAAAAAAAATAAAACAGTCTGAGTCCATCGTTGATTTAATATAACGATTTTATATTTTCTCTCGGCCAGTTCGAAGTTATTGTGTATTTTTTTGTTGGTTTTTTTTTTTCGGTATTGTCGTAGGTACCTTTAGAATATTCGCAACTTTCACAATAATCGTTGAAAAAGCTGGATCGCAGCTAGCGTATTATTATAATCATGCCGCGGTCGAAAAGTTTTACGGTTTATATTGGTTTCCCCCCCCCCTGTAGTTGCGTTGTATATTATTATTATTATTTCAACTTTATTCGTTATTATTATTATTTTTTTTTTTTTTTTTTTTTTCCAATAATAATATTAGTCTGTACTCTTTTTGCGGTATCGATTTCGTCCGTCTCGTCCGAACGGCGTTTTAATAAACGACGTTATAAAACTATATATTGTATATTGTTATTATTTTTATGTATCATTTATATATATATATATAACGCAACGGCGACGATTCGTTACAGACTATAAAAAGCCCGCGCTTTTTCCCCGGGAGACGACCGCTTCTAAAAATAAATACGATGTTCGTTTTAGAAAACACCCCGTGGATATGTTCAACACGCGTATTTTTAACGTTATCGAAATGATAACATATGTATAGATTTGCATTTCGCCAACGGTTTGCGTTTGTGAAAAACGAACGGAACGATTATAGAAATTCCGCGGCCGAGTCGAGGAGTCCGTGTCAACGCGACCTCTCCGCCGGTGCCGATCCGCACTTAACGTTCCCGCTTACGATGTTTTCCGCAACGTTATCGAGGTTCGAATAATATTATCGAGAGTCTGCCGCGTACTTACGGTTGCAAAAAATATATATATTAAAAAAAATAATAATAATAATAAAACGCTACGCCGGCGTGCACGAAAAATTATCGGTAAGGTAAAATCTCGGAACGGGGACCGCGCCTTTAATCTGCTTACGTCGTCGTCTACCGGTGGTAAATACCGCAATTTCGAGACATCCGATGAGCACGGAACATTATGCCGGAGTTCATCGATATGCAAGACAGTGTAATAACAATAATACAGGGCGGCGGTTATTTTATCGTTAGTGAACCGCAGGACCACAGGATTCAGAATTCACCGCGCCGGGCCCGGTAGTCCAAACTACCCTAACATTAATTATAACAAATAACTCAATTTAATCTGTTTAAAAAAAAAAAAATATAAATGGTACAAATGATATGATATTACAGAGATAACTCTTTGAAAAAGTTTATTATGTATTGGGTGTCTGTTTTAATTGTTAATATGCAACTCTATTATTGATATGTAAAAACACGGTTCCAGGTCAAAATGTCTCCAGTAAAGAATATCTCTAGAATAAATTATCTTCGGTAAAATATATCTTTAATGGAAATATCTCTTATAGAAATTGAGACTTGGATAAAAAATCTCTAGCAATTATATGAATTTTTTTTAGTACCCATTAATTTAAGATTGTAAGCAATCCCTCTTGAAAAAAATATCATACAATTTCGATTGAACAAAAATTAAATAAATATTTTAAAAGACAATTAAATTTAACAAGTCAACTGGCTTGAGCATCATAATTAACTTCCACTGTATTCGTATCACACGCCATACTTAACCGTAGCCTAGGAACTCGAAATCGAAAAAAATATTTCAGAATATACTATACCATAATATTGTATTTAGTTATTATTTCCTGTGGGATATTTCCATTAAAGATATTTTATAGGAGATATTTTTTTCTGGAGATATTTCTTACTGGAGGAGGTATTATTTACTGGAGATAATAGGTCCGGTCAAAGAAAAAAAAAGGCCTTCAACATTTTAAAATTTAAAGCCTGAGCCTCTAGGCTCTAAACTTAATCTGGCTCTGGTGAATTAATGGAAACTTAAAGTAAGTTTTTTTTCGGTTTTTTTTTTTTGTTAGAAAAAAATAAAACATTATATAAAAGATCCAAGTATTATAAAAAAAGTCTGTTCTGGACCACTGATCCTGATACTGCTACCTTGGAATTTTTTTACTCCATTCCAATTAATTCTAGATCCTGACCCATCGTCCAAACCTAATCTAACGAATTTTTTTAAAAATTTTTTTACTTATTACGTAGAAAGTAATGGAGTAAAAGCCTGGTCTCTTTTATTTTATTTTTTCTCAAGAACTAAATTTGGCGATGGAGGAAAACACGAATATAGAGCGATAATTCTAATTTGGATAAATGAGTGACAATACATCGAATCTATTTAAACTAGGTGACTATTAGTGATAATTTTGATATTTAATGCTGAGTATCCTTAAAAATAAATAAATGCTGGAAATCATGAAGAATCGGATAGCAACTATTGACAGCTAGATGAATTATGTACTTTCGGCGAAAGTGGAGGAGAAGAAGACCACACTTGCGAGAAGCCGACGGTAACCGAGGTCAAACCAGGATGTAAGGGGCATCTAGGGCGGAGATCGCCAATTCTGATTAAAATAACCCATAGAGAACACAACATATATCTAATACGACGGATGCCTGGGCACTGAGTTGAGAAAACTACAATCGGCGAAGAATTAGGTTTTTTTTTTTCACCGTTTTCTTTTTGTTTTTCGTTTTTGTATTATATAGTTTAAAGACCACAGAATTAAACGGACTACAGGTAAAATTTATATGCGTTGGTCGTTTTCGCTCTCAGATTTTCATAGTCTTTCAGCCAAGGCCGGTAATTGTTTTCGTTCTTAAATAAACAATACATACAGCAGCATAAAAAATGCGTAAATACCAATAGGCTTGAAAATTGAAAAAAAAAAATTGTCCAGAAATTACCCTTTTTATACTATTTGAGTCGTTTATATAATATGATAGTTTACATACGATATTTTTCAAAATTTGGCCTTTATTACATCATTAACATACGTACATAACCTAATTTTACCGTATGATTAGAAATCACGGATATAACGTGTTTTTACTGATTCTTTAGGCAGGTCTAATTGTGTGAACTTTCTTGATAATTTATTATTGTCAAAGGACTACTTTACAGAGCATAATTCAAATGTAAAGAATAAGTTTGAAAATACGATATATATACTGAGAATACATCGAGACTGAAAGAAATTTCACAAAACATATGTTTTACATTGAATTATGAAAATTAATTAATTTTTTTTTTTTAATAAAATTGTTGTCTTTGTTAAATTGTGTCTACAGAACCCATGCTATGAATGGACAAAGTTTAAGTATAAGATGATCTTATATTTTATCAAAAAACAAAAGGAAATTAAAAAGAATAAACCATTTTAGTTTCTAATTATTTCTATTCAAGAAATTTAAACTATATTTTTTATCTTTTAAGTAGGTGATACAGCTGAATATTTTGTAGAAAGTAGGTACATGCTCAATTTATAAAATATTATATTTAGTAGAAAGTGTTTTTTATGTTTTTGGAAGACAAAAATTATAATTTTGCAAAGATTATAATTGATTTTATACTCTTTTAAATTTGTATAAATGGTTTTTTTTTTTTTAGTATTTTATGAAATATTCTATAATTTTTTTTTTATACTGTCTCAATTATAAATGTGACAGTTGCTGAAGTTTAAAATTCAGATCCAAGGTGCTTTAATATTCTACATAATTGAATAGTAAAAACATAGATATAAAATATAATGTTATTTTCTATAATTAATTAGGTACATTTGGCTTATTGATATTTCTACATTACCGGTCAAAATTTTAAATCGTAAACACATAAAAAAAATGGGGTGATATAATTTATCCGGAATTAAGGTTTTGCGTTTAATAAAATAGTATACAACACCAAAACTCCTCCCCCCCCCGTAAAAATGTTTGTCAATTAGCTTATAATTTATCCGTTGGTCAACCGCTGTATTGTTTGTTTGCCGGGTCGATATAATGATTTCAAACGGTTCAATGGATCCCGATTAACTTACGGTTTTGAAATCCGATTTTAATATAAAATATAAAACCAGATTATACATATTTTTAAACATTGCCACGTGAGTGTTGTAAGTATGTGCGATGGCTGCTATACAATATGTATCTGCGGCCCTGCTGGTAAACCCGGTTGCATTATTCTTTTATTAGCACTCATGCGGTATAAAATAAATCCATAAAGTTAAGTACAGTGTAGTGGTAGACAATGTGATTTATTAAAAAAAAAAGTAATAATAATAATAATAAAAATCACGATCGTGTCATTATGTGACAACAGTTATATCGGCAAAAACTTGCGGAATCATCGGCGAACGATAATTCACACCGAAATGCCGTGAGTAAAAACCTTGTTATCCTCAAGTACGACAAAATATTATTAATAAAACGTGTCGAATTGCGGAAAAAATACCATTCCCGTAACGACGACTCATACAAAGTTATATAAGAAAAAAAAATAACTTGTTAGTCTTATTTTGAGACGTTTACAAAGACTGAGAGGCAACTGGATAACTATGTTTGTTCAAAATTGTTCTGGGTTAATAAAAAAAAAAAAAATAAAAATAAAGGAAATGAGATTTCTTTATTTCGGATTTATTTGAGACATTATCATACCAAAATTTCAAAAATAAGATAATAACACTCCAATTGAAAAAAAAAATAATAATAAAGCAGTAGATCCCAACATTCGAGTTAATTGTTCCCTCGAATATTAAGCAACTTCGAGTAAAAAACGAATTGTAGGAACAATAATCAACCAATTATCGTCGTTGGTTAAGTGGATGTATGTGTAGTCAGCTTAAACGTTTATAAATTCCATGAAATTCAATGCCTATCTATACGAAGTGAATCGGCATAATAACTGTTATAACTGTATAGTTGGTACCTTTGTACAATAATTCGTAAATATTATTTATATCATTTAAAAGATTATACACATTACATCTTGAATATGTTTTGAAAAATACTTTTGCCTTTCACACGGATAACATACCGGTTGGCCTTCAAACGTATCGCGGTCCGATAGAGCGAAAGAGGACAATAATAACGATACTTAATGATATACCTCTCGGTCCCGTCTTCCACAGTCGTTCACTAGAAGGAGTTGTACGTCGAGGGAGGGCAGGGAATCGGACCACATCTTGTCTACCTGCTTCGTAAATAATATTTGTATACATTTTATTACGCGGGTATTGGGCCACAAATAAAAGGTATATTTTTAAAGGGTACCCGGAGATCGAGCCACAAACCTATAACACGAAAATATATAATTTTCAATATTATATAATATAGAATAAGTCAAATAATAATAATTATTTTTTTTTTAAAAACGTGATACAGTTTGCTTTGCATTGTATTTAAAACCGCCGTTAACATAAATCGATTACAACGAACATAAGACATTTTAATTTCTGATCGTGGAAAAAAATAATAATATGGTTTAAAAAAATGGTGTTAAATAGTGGTTTTCCTTTTATCAAATCAAAAATGTATTAAAATATAGTGGCCCAATTACCGGATTCAATAATAAAAAGTCGTTTAAAATAGTGGCCCAATCACCGGGTGTACCTGCTAAAAATGTAAAATTCTAATGGCCCAATAACTGTATACCTTTTGAAAAAAAATAGTTCATTGTGACTCATTTCCCGGACGCCCAGGTAAGTTAGGTACATAAAACAACAATGTTATTATAATGCCAAACTGAACTGGCGAACTGAACGAAAATGAAAATTGCATTCAGACACGTTGAGTATACGTGCGGTTTTTTTTTTTTTTAATTTTTTTTTTTTTTGCTCGTGTATAAAAATTTAAACGATCGCTGTGTCAGCGGGTTTATTTTTCCATAAATGGACGGATATCGGAACGACAAGCTTATAAATTGAACGCTGTACTATAGATGCGGCGCGCCGTCGAGCTGCAAGAGCGCAGACAATAATTACGTCTATATTGTAATGTTAATAACGCCTGTCTCGCGTATCGCTGTTTTTTCTATATAAATTTCGGTTTGAATCGGCAGCGTACACGCGGGATTATATAATACCTAACTACTCGCGTGGGATAGTTTAAAAAAAAAAAAAAAATAATACAATTATTATTATTATCATACGAAACAATTCCCCGGACGCGCGACCGTTTGTTTCAAGTGTTGAAATAATATTTAGTCGCGAATAACATCATACGGCTACCTGCGCCTAATGACTCGCGGCGCTAAACAAATATCGCTCGGGCGGACAAGCGTTCTATAAAACACAATATTACGTGGTATAATAATTATCATACTCGACAGTGACAAATAATAATAAACCTCGAACACTTCTATTTTCGTATGATGACCGAATATTACCGATTAATATATCGAAATATACGTAAATAGATGTTTTAATGTTCATAAATATATACTTTATATAATATATCTTTTTTTGTTTTTTTTTTTACCACTCTCAGAGATACAGGGATAAAGACTTCAGATTTACAATATTTCAATCACATTTTTATATTTTGACGAAACCCCGAAAAAATTGACTTTTTATTTTATTGTATCGAACAAATTGAAGACGGCCATTACATAGAGTTTATTTTACTCGCGGTTTTAACGTTTTCGATTTTTATAATTTTTCAATGATCTTAGAAAAATGTCTGCGTTCGGTATTAATAACAAATTATGTTATATTAGCTATTATTCCGATTATCTATAACCACGCAACAGGCTGTTATCGCGTTATACTAATTGACTTTGATTTTTAGTATAAATTGAAATTGAAATTGATTTTTATTATTATCACGGTTAATTGAGTGTACAATTTTTTTCATAAAGTAAGTGTGTAGTCATTCGATACTGGAAAATGTGCAGTGTTTATTTTTTTGAATTTTTTTTTTCTACGACCCCAACGATACTCCCCGATTATGTATAACCTTTTTTAATGTTTCGTTTATTATTATTTTTTTTTAATTAAGTGGATAAATGACCCAGCTTGACCTGGCTTGGTTAAATGGTGTAGGAAACTTAGAAATGGCCAGACGAATACGCATGACAAGGAACGAAATAAAAAATCATTAATTCAATGTCGCCAGGTCTTATCAAAAAAGTTGAGCAGCTTATCATGGATAATCGAACTTCGACAATACATTTACAGTACCTACAGTTCTGTTTTTCTCTGAACACATTTCATAGAATTGATCAATCTTAAATGTTCAGTCAATTCAATGCACGAATATTTGTTCGGACATTTTCAAACTCTCAATTATTTCTAAGAATTTTTTAAGATTCTTTGTAACGTCAGTCATCATCCAGTGTGTCCAATTTTTTTGGGTTGCCTAAATTAAGCTTGTGACCTTACTTTGATATTATATTAAAATGATATTATATTTTTATTTTATATGCCCACATGTTTTCGAGCGACATTTCAAAATCAATTGCATCAAACTATATACTTGAAATATAGAATTAGAACTAGTAAAATATATAGTATTAGAAAATAATAATATTATACAATCGTAATTATTATCCAAAGACTGAAAAGCCAAAAGAAAACTTCATCGGTAAAAATAAAAATGATAAAAAAAAGCCTTCTGATCCTTATGAAAAAGAAAAAAAAATAGGTGGTATTTGAAAAAAAAAGAACGAGTAAATTAAAAAAATGTCAGATAAACGAACGTTTTTAAATTATTTGAATTAAATTATATTACGCACGTCGGGGATACCTTTATTATCTTAAAATCGATAAAAAAAAATAAAAAAAACGGAACGAAAAGGAATTTTTTTCCCCAACTACTAGACGATAATACAATTCGTTTTCACGATTATATATACTACACATTACATGTAAATTATATTTTTCAGCTTAATTAACGCGTTCGGGAAATGTCACGGAGAACGAAGCTTTTATAATAGGTATACGTGTGTTAAAACTATCCGCTCGATCAATTTAGCAAAATACATCTGCAGAAACTCGACGTATATTGAAACTCGAACAAAGTGCTCACATATACAAGTTTATTCCGTACGCACAAACTTGTAATGCGATTTAATGTAAATACTGCAACACTGATGTAAATTTTAAGCGAACTGCTTACAATATGTTTTGAAAACTTGGAACGAAACTCTTAAACGTATTATTATACGTCTAACGCATATAGTTTGAATATCGCCCGTATAGCGAAAATTAATAAAGTAGGTAATGTGTTATTTTATAATTATATCAAATATTAAATACCATACCATATGGCGGGCGAAACACAAATTCGAATCGTCAGTCGGAATCGTAGGTGCAAATGACCCCGTACTATGTACACCTGTTTTATAAGAGGGCAAATCGGTACGGATCGACCAGTGAAACGCTATGCACGCTATGAATTACGCGTTGATATATCATAGGAACGGTTTCTGATTGTTTCCGCACGTTTTCCGCATAATCGCGTAACGCATATATTCATCGCGTAAACAAATATCCATACCTCGGACGGGTTTAAACGAACTATTGCTCGTAGTCCGATCTAAGTTCAAAACGTGTTAACGAAACACAAATAACAAAATTGAGTATTTTCAATGAACTCGTATTTTAATAGGGTCGTAATATGTTTAATTCGAATTCCACATTGTATTCGCCGAGAAAAATTATTACATTATTATTGACCTAACCGCCACAATTTTAATTCCGAATAGTTAATATTTTCCCCGTTTTATACTCGTTAGAAATAAAGAGATGGACACTATTCTATTGTCACGTCCTCTTGTGATTATTTGAATAGTACAGGCATTGCATCGTTACGCGTGATATCAGGGCATTTAATTCATATAACCGAGAATTCTAAAAACGAATGAAATGAAATTTCAATGAATTTGAACTAAGCGAATTCATTTAAAACGAACAACTCCGTAAACTACTACTCTTATGACGCGATACTATTGATATTATATCTATACCGGGCAAATTTTCCTTTTGCCGCGCCGCGATCCGATCACTGCGCGGGTACCGAAATATTATATTTTTTTTTTTTTTTTACGCGTAAAAAGGACCCGTAACGAAAAAAATTCCGTCGACACGACGACGACATTAACGGTATTAAATTATTTTTTTAATAAAAACGAATAATTTCGTTTAGATTATATTATATATAGATAGGTAGGTATGTTATGTATGTGTGGAGTACAAGTAATGCCGTCGATGACCCCCGCAGAAAAACGTCGACGCCGCCATATTACACGATGATTCGTTAATAATATTATCCGCCGCGTGTAAACGCACAATAAGGTACTTAATTTCGAATTAAAAAAATATTTACACGTTTTGTTTTCAGGCCAACGATTGTTCCGAGTGAACGGCTAGGGCGTAATAGTATTACGGTAAAGGCGCGACATTTTATCAAGCGTTTGTTTGATATCTTCACTATAATATTACACAAAACACTAACCGCTTTAAATTGTTAATTTTTTTTTATGGTCTGTCGTCAGTACGGCAACGTATCTCGCTACGTGTCCATTATTTCGTATTTCATATAATTTCGAACTATTCCGAATATTGTCTCGAAAATAGATTTTAAAAACTCGATTATAATATTACACGTGAAATTGATCGTTATTCTCTTAGTTTTCGTTAATGTTATGATCTTTCAAAATAAATCACGACAGCCGTGGCCTAGTATAATATAATATACCTAATAATTATTTTTTACGGAAAAAATAATTTCGAAAAAAAAGTACCAACGCGTATGACTTCGAAAACCGCATATTTTATCGATTGCGGTGAAGCTTAAAGTAAATGTTTCCGGACAATTGAAAATAATTCGAAAATCATGAATTTTCACCAAATTGATAAATATTTCAAGACAAAAATACTTCACTACTATAATATAAGTCTCCTGTAAAAACGTTTTTTGTTTCGTGTACTATTTCCTCAATATTACCACGGTTACAATAATTATCATTTATTAGCCAAATGATGGGCATATTATGCAAATAACAATATGTTTGGCCCTAGAGAAGATGAACTTGAGTCAATTTTTCGAATTTTTTTTATTTATATAAATTTTTTCTCTACACATTCTATTTTGGTCAGAATGGCATAAGTGTATGTATACACATATAAGTCTACATTTATTCGATCACAATTTATACTAAAAAAATAAAATATCTCTATATTTCGCTGTGACGTCATTTAAATTAGAACGTTTAGCACTTTGGCCGTTTAATAACTGTCGACGTTTAATTTGCTAGCATTGAAAACTGTGTCGAACGCAACTGATTTGGGTACTTCTTTCCCGGGTCACCAAAGGCACAACAATAATATAGTATGACTATGTGAAATAAACGACAACGATCATTACGAACGGACCAAAACGAGTATTATGAGTATTATTCGTCCCGTCGCGAAGTATTACAATGAATCAAATAATAATAATAATTACGAACCGTGAAAAGAGTGCGTCGTACAGTATTGAAAACTGTATTAAAATACCCGCAGAACGCCCGAATAATGTACCGCAACAATGTCGTCGGCCGACGTATAGTATAATAAAGTATCGAAGACGATGTGGGAAAAATTTTAACTGCGTCGGTGAACATATTATTCTACACAATATCGAACGAATAGTGAGAGTAGTTTAAAACTTTCACGAGTGTATAATATATACATATCTATATAATATTATATACAAAAGTTGCCATTGAATATTTCGAGTGTCTCCAGGTCCCGTCGAAAAACTCGCAACTTGTTGGTGAAAATTACGTTATCATCGTGCATAATATATATACATAGATACGCTGCCAAGGTTCTTCGTCAACTTTGCGCATATTTCACACGCCTTAAACTATGTCTGCGGACGTTGTAATTTAATTAATGGACGTAGCAGCGGCAGCAGCAGCAGCAACAACAATCTAACAATTTGCCATACACGAAATGAACACGGCGATCAAACGGCTTCAGGACTAGTATAGTGATGCGATAATGACTATTTTCGAATAGACACGTCTTTTTCCAAAGAAAAAAAAAAAATGATTTACTATATTTTTGTTGATTAATATTTTAATGTCTAATTGCAAAAAAAAAAAAAAAAACGCTTGGCAAAAATTATGATTTTTGTATAGGATTTTAAAACTAAACGCTCCGCAATACAGAATATATCATATTGTGTACATTTTATTAAATATTTATCAAGAGTCTACGACTAAGACGATATTATCGTTGGTAACAACTAAATTATTAATAACATTATCAGTGTCCAATCACGTATATAATATAATGCATTCGCGATATTATAAAAACGCGTTTAATCTAGCCTTTCGCCTAACATTAATATCGTTGACAATTTTATGGTGCATATTATTTTAATAGTCGTTGCTACTGTAATGGACACTTATGAATGAAGACATTAGGCGGTAGACGTCTCGAGAATAGACCGCATTTAATGGACCGCTTGTCCGTGAACTAATTGCACAACCAAAACAATGTCGCCCCGAGAACAATTATTGGATATATTAAGGAACTTTAAAACCTACTCGTATAAGTTATAATTTACGGTTTTTAGGAGAATTTTTCCATCACAATCCGGCGATTATTTAGAAGCTATTGAGTATAAATTGATTTTGGTTTTTTCCAGTCACTATATACGAGCAAAATCGTTTAAAATCAAAAAAAAAAATCACTAACGGTAAATCCGATAATTTTTATGACGTAGTGAATGTAGTTTAGGGAGATCAAAACATATGAAAAAATATAATTTTTTCTAATACGTGTTAAAATTATAATGGTTGTCGTATGAAAATCGACTTTCAATATTTCTCATTTAAGACGAGTAAAACGTACGTGTAGAAGTAGCGATGGAAATTGGATAATTTTTAAAATTAAGCCTATTACGATTTGTATAAAGACTGAAACAAATCAGAAATCGAATTTGTTTCAAATCCTCTGAACAAATCTCCTATTTAAAAGTAAAAGAAGTCTGCGAACAATCACTGATACGTTGGCGGTAAAAAACATTATTTAATATAAGATAAGAACTGACCCTGACAGAATCTGCCGAATTCAACTGCGCCGATCGGTGAAAATCGACCGTTCACTGGTCATGTATAATGTATTATATTTGCTTATAACGTACGAACACCTATATCGATACTTGTCGGAAATCGGTCCACAACATATTTCGAGAAAAGAAAAAAAAAAACGCGTGCAAGTATATTATTATCAAGAAGACGGATTCGAGCGAACGTCAGAACTATACGGTTCAATTCCCGAACTTTTCTCGGAATCGTTTTTAGAATACGCAATAATATAATGTCAACAACGGAAAGATTCCGATGAAAACTCTCTGCAGTGTGATATTGACGTTTTAATTTATATTGTAAAAAATGTATGGGCCGAACAATAATAATCTCGTCGGGGAAAAAAAAAATACGTCAGACGTCTTTTATTATATATAGATTCGAACAGTGTGTTATATATATATATATATTTTAATCAGAAATTAAAATCAAAAATAATAGCGAAACGTTCGCCGTTTTATATGACGAACGAAAAAAAAGGAAAATGATATGAAAATAATACGTGCTTTATTTATTATATATATAAATTATATCTGTGTGTATAAAATCGCTACCGAGTAAAATATCTTAGAGACGATAAAATATAATTTAAAGAAGAACATTTTGCGCGACGGTGTTCGCAAAAATAATTATTTAGAGCTCAGCGTTGATGCGACGCAGAAAATAATGTCAACGAGCCGGCCGCCGAAATTATATAAAAATTGTCAATTATAGAAAATCACGTTCGGCAACACTGAATATAAATTATATTATAAGTGTCGTGTCTTTATCTCGATAATATCTGTTTATTTTTGACGATATTCGGGTGGAAATATTGAAAAAACTCAATTTAATAATATTTCTCGACTATACATTTCGATCACGCAAAACGAAACGCGTTTTTAACATTTCCCGAACGGCGTTGTTTCTTAAAATTGTTTTATTCAAGCTTCTCTAACAGAACCCAAAAAAAAAAAAAAAAAAAAAAAGAATTACGCGATTAAAACAATAATTTATAAAATAAAACGGGTTAACAATATTGTTTATTATTAATAATTAGCATAGTATCGAAGTTAGAAAGTAATGCGTGGTAACCGCTACGCGCGTTTCTTTATCCACGTTGGGTTTGGTTTGATATTATTTATAATTTTGCGAAATCGGAAATTCGTTGAGAAAAATTTGACTCTTGTAACTGACGTGGTGATCATTATAACGGACTTTTTTTTAAACGGATTCCGATACGTGCTGGGCGACTGGACCTTATATCAGCGAGTCTTATGAGTGGCGTGCACTGTATAATTTATACAGGAATTTCGTATTAACAATTTCGGAGATTTTATATTTTATGCTGTTCCGAGATGCAAGCGTTCCAAAACGATATTTATCGACAGTTCCACTGGTGAACGGTGCTTCGCGAAAAAATTTTCTTTTAAATTGTAAAACTTTCAACGGTAACGATTTATAAATTTAGGTTGACGCGTTGGCACATTTAGAGTTGATTATTCGGGAACATAAAGAGTCGTTACCCTTTAGTAAAAGGTTTTTTTGTGCACAAAGACCCTAATTACAATAATAATATAGTATTATACTGCGAGTATATTATTATAATATTATATATCTATATAGAGTGTACCCGTTCGAAGGATATTGTGCGACGTGGGGTGACGAACTGACGAATATGTTCGTGGCGTTTGCAATCCGTGAAATCTCTCACCGTCTCAACTGTCCTATTTTTTATAAATATTTTTTTTTTTTTTACACTGCAAAGAGGGAGAGAGGAACAAAAATAAAACGGTTTTCTCGTCTTGAAATCATCGGTAAGTATATGCGGTGTTACGGTAAACGAATGTCGTGGCGGCGTCGGCGGTGTTACGGCGGAGCCTTTGAATTATCACCCTTTACAGCTGCAGATATTCCGTTTCGCCGATTTATAACACGTGACAACTCGCGACAGAACAACAAATGCCTTCGATCGACGGGCACGCGTATAAATGAATATCAAATAGGTACGACATATTTTTTGTTTTCCGGACGCGTCACCGCATCGTGTTGCGAATGCTCGTGGTGTAAACCCCTAGAGTCTCATCGAAACGATTACAATATTATTCCGACGAAAACATCGACTTTCGCTGATCTAACTGTCTGGAGAATTTCCTACGAAATCGGCCGCTTCCAAAATACTAAATTTAAAATGAAAAAATACTAAGTAAATATTCAACGATGAGATTTATCGGTTCGGACTGTATTATAATGTAGGTATTATATTGTTGGCACATTTTGTCGGTTAATGCCGACGATTACGTCATACTCGAGGCGAGTTGTAGCGAACATCAAAGTATTTTTTTTCCGGTATTTATTTATGATATAACCGATTTGATTTGGCGAAATATATATGGTTTATGATAACTGCATTGCATTGGAAATTTGTAATATACGTGCCTGAATAGTAAATTAGTCGACAATTAGTATCATTTACCTATGATAAGAAAAACCGAAATGAAAATAAACTGCATGCGTTTAAAAAGAAAATTCCGAATGAAATTTTTGGAGATTTAAAAGATACTGAGACCGAAAAGAATGATCCAGAATAAGAAAAACCAATCCAAAGTAAAAAATTGAAATGTCCTGGAGAAGACAATTTTTTTTTTACACTACCCATAATATCGTATTCAATGAAACACGACAGAAAACCAAGAACTGAATGGGAAGGCGCATTTGAGTTACATTTGAAAGAGCTGGGAGCGAATTAAATTGGAAAGAACGAGTATCAGATAAAGATATGCAAAGCCGACGGGATAATTCCAGAAGCCACAGGTATAGATAAAGAATCGTGATAAACCTGTTATATATATATATATCGTTCTATATGTTATAGCATCGTCTAAAAAATTTCTTAACAATTCAATAATTTATAATATTATTAGTACATTAGTCGTACTTAACTATAAACCTTGAAATATCTATCATCAACCAAAACGTCCAATAAACGCGTTGAATTATTGACGAAAAAATTGGGAAATATTCTAACCAATGTTTGTTTTTATGCATAATTTTTTTTTTTTTTTTTGATGTTGACTGGAAACCTGTTTTTCATACAAGTGTTTTTGTGTCGTCGTTTTGGGACATTAAATGTGTATTGTCAGGAACGTTTTGTGAATAATTGCGTGGCGACAAAAGGTCGAAATCTATAATGGTACCGCTAATGATTGCCAAACTGCACAAGGTGTTTTTCTGCATACTACATACTTCACTTTGAAATGATCAATAGCAGACGGGCCACTTTAAACACGAGACGGTGAATATAATGGCGACGACGTACTGCAGAGAAAGAGAACAACCCACATTTAAACAACAAGACAAGTCCAATTATTTCTCTTTGAACACCGTATTGCTGTGTTTATGTATAAAATAACAATAAATATAGTTTTCAATAAAATGATTTTATTTGTACGCGTACTATAGAAAAATTAAATTTTTGTTCGTCAAAACGATGAAAAAACAAGACAACGATGTGTGTAATTAATGTTAAATTATGTAATTATAATTGTTTTTTAAACATTAATAGGATTTCGAAAAACTATGGAATTATACGAATAACAATACTTTTAGCCCAATTTAGTTATTGGAATTAAAATAAGAAAGACATTCTTAACGTAGATTATGTACGGTCAATTAGCATAATAAAAATTGAATTGCGAAAAATTAAGACGCATTATTATTTTAAGGCACGAAAGCCTATATTGACGACACTGTTTAATGAAGTTTAATGATAAATGGGAAGTGACAGGCCCAAGATTAGGTTAGATTGGGTGGGTAGGTCAGACCTAACCAATGATACCCATATCATTCATGGGGAATAATATGAGGACCCCAAAGGAATGAGCTACTACAGGTTGATACGACGCAGAGATGCAATAAATAACTAATCACAGGATTACGCGAAGCAGAAGAAGATGATGTATAATTATATTTTTCGCGATGAAACGTAAACGATTTTACGGGGCAAGCAGAGTGAATAGCAATAACACCGTAACAAATAAAACCATTTTTTTATTTTTTGCTCGATGCGCGCGCGGTAAACAAATTATTACGTAGATATATCGAGGTGAACGAGCGCGTTTGTTTCAACACACGTAGATTATAGGTAATAATACGTAAGAAAAAAACTCGAACCGGTATTACCTACACATGTTTCGGGTATTTGAGAAAAAAATAAACGCGTTGGAAAAAAATATCACCTATTACTCGACGCGTGCCGCGTGCGTTATTAAAGATAATACGTTTCGCGCGATTCTCGGAGCGATTTGTTATGTGAAAAACAAAAAATAAAAATACAAAGATCGCACCGTGAACTGTTATTTTTAGCGCGGTGAAGTTATCAGTCAAACGGGAAATTAGTTTTTCAATATCCGTGTAGGTATATACAAGTGGCACGACAAATAATCGCGGCGTTCGAAACTCGGTTTGAAATTTACTTTTCATAATGTTCATGAGTTCGTGGAATAGTCGAGCGGAAAAGAAGCAAATTTTATTTTAGTTTCAAATGGAAAATTAATAACTAATGGTTAATTTTGTCAAAGAGGAGTATCTGCAAGAAGTCAATGTTAGTCAAAATTCTGCGATCATAGAACAGGGTCATACCTAGTCGTACGACGGAGTTTTCATTTTGAGTAAGAAAGCAAAGGTATAAAACCGATACAGTGTCGTACTCGCGAAATCGTAATTTCCACAAATTTATTCGATTTTTCGGGAAATTTTTAATCACCGTGCCCGAGGTTTTCGATTTTTCCAGAAACTTTAGGTTTCCCTGCTTTTATGTCTATTTTTTATTTTTTTTTTTTCAGAAATTTAAATATCTCTAATAGAACCGAACGTCACATTACGCGCGTATCGAGTTTTCCGGTCACTCGCAACGGCACAATAATATAATACCGTCGACGACTCGTTGGCGGCGGAGTAGCGGACGGATCTATAATATCTATAGGTATATTATACATATAAACATATATATATATATATATATATATATAGAGAGAGAGAGAGAGAGAGAGAGAAAGAGAGAGAGAGAGAGAGAGAGAGAGAAAGAGAGTTTCGCGTTGATCAAACAAAAGCCGTCGTCGTAAAGTCCGTTTGCTCAAAAGTCTGAAGGCACCGGCGGAATTTTGCGCGCCCCGTCGTGGTTTACCTTCCATCGCGTAAATCCGCCTTACCGATTCCTTCCCCCCCCCCTCTCACCCCATACCAACGGTCCCTCGGTCGCTCTCCTCGATCGCGTCGCCGTCCCCTAGGTCCTGTCAAATATATCATTCAACGACAACGAGTACCTATACCCGTCGTAGTACTGCTCGGTTCGTTTTCTTCGTGCAGCAACTCGTCGTATCGGCTCCGCCACGCGCCACCGGGCGTTCGAGTTCCTACACGAGCTCGTTGTTAGGTATTATTTAGCCCCCGTTACGGGTGCATCGAAACGGCTGCAACGACTTTTCGGAGTGGGAATCGTTTCTAGCCTGCCCGTGTATAGAGTAATATTATGTCGCAGATAGGTGTATCGGTACACGCGTAATGTGTGTTTCGAATTGCACGTTATAGTCAAATATAATCCACGAAATGACGTTATTTTATCGAAATATAACTCGAACAAACACTTTTCGGAATATATTTATTCTAAAATTATATTTTATATTATTAGCTTACGCAGCTGCAACAGTATTCAGAAATTGTTAATAACACCGACGAAAATAATCGAATTATTAATTCGTTTGCAGGAATAAAAATGTCATACTTAATAATACGATATTGTAGCGGATTCGAATAAAGAAATAAAACTTTCTGTCGCGGAGAAAATAAATCCCCATTAGGATTTATGTCGTCGAAACGAGTTTTTCGTTATGATTTAGTTCCCTTAACGACAATGTTTCGTATAAGCTCGATAGATATCTGCGAGGATTTAATGATATCGACAGAATCCCGAAAGTTGAGCTCACGCGAGTATTGTTAAAAAAAAAAAAAAAAAAAAAAAAAAGGGCCATATTCTTTTTTTGATTCACTTTCTTAATCCAAGTTTATAAAGATTTTATTATTATTATTATTATTTTTTTTTTTTTTAATCGAAAAATCAATTTTTTACTTATTATTATTAAATTCTATGAAAAGCCTATATTTTCTTTTCGATTTATTATTCGTATTTGTCATAAATAATTTCGGAATATGCGAATAAATAAATACGTTAGGCAATCATGAAGATTACTCGTGCCAGAAAATATTAATCTTAATTGCGTAAAGCTGTTTTTTTCTCCCCCGCTTTAATGAGTAAGTCCTGAATTTCCAAACTCGCTACGCTTACATATTTTAGTACGTGCGATAGCAAAAATTAAACGCACTAATAATTCTTGCGTAAAAATAATAAACTAAAATAAAAGAAATTTTATAAAACGATTCTCGAAATGAGTTCTGCGCGTGGATTTTTAATTTGTTCGCTACTGTTATTCATAATTTAACTTTAATGTTTTATTCATATTTTAATTATATACTAACGTATATTACCGAAATAGACATTTGAAGACGTCTAGCCAATGTGCATTCAGGCATCCGAAAAATGTTCAGCAAAATATTAAAATAAAACGTAAAATTGATGTTAAAAAAAAATTGTGCACTACCTATTATCCCACATTTTTATAATTTTTTTTTTTTTTTTTGTTGCGTACATCATTGTATATTTGAATTAAACAAATGTGAACTACTCAAATGCTTAAACTTCGCAATCCGAAATTTTCTGCCAGGCCGTCCTTTAACATTATGAATATGAATAAACGCAGTAAAAAACCGAAAAGAACTTCCGTAAGTTCGTATACCGTGATGCCATTTTTGAGTTTGAATGCGAAGTGAAAAAAACTTAATGCATAAGGCGTTCGATCGAAATAAATAAAATGTGAGTTTAGGTACAAAAACCATTGTTACAACATTCCCTCCACAACCATGTACACTTCATAATATTCGGCAGAAAACTGATTAATGATCCGACAAATCTTTTTCCACTCTATTGTTGTACATCATATACTTTATACTATATAAACAAGCGCCGATAGGCATCAACGACGACAAAATTATTATTTCTAAAGCTTTTACTTTGAAAATGTTACAGTACCAAAAACCGTCACGTCAAATACCACGTCATTTGGAATATTAAAATGGAAAAATTATTTTAAAAGCTTAAACTATATTTTAAATTTAAATTCAAGAAAAAAAAAATATTTTACAAAAAAGGTCTATACCTGCTGTTAATGGATGTTGTAGGTAAAATATTGATAAGGCAAGATATATAAATTCGATTAATGCATATCTGTACGCAACGATAATTTATCGTTAAATAAATACTATTCTGAGCAAAGTTCGGTTAAATATTATTCGAAATGCCGTGATTTTTAAGATTTTCGTTAAAATTTGAACTTGAAAAACTTAAAAAAAATTACCACAATACATTGGCTTTTTTTCTTATATCAAATACAACTCATGATGAACCTCGTATTAAATTTTTCAGACATTTTAACAGTTAATCCAAAAACAATACGTGAAATGAAATGATTTTTACGATTTATGTTCATTTTTTACCTCTATAATAAAAAAATAATATAATATGTTAAATTTTCTTTTTTACAATCAAATATGTTTTATGACGAGACTTATGTTAAATTTTCTAGAATCTCTGATCAACCAAAACCATATTTTAATCACATCAAATCAAATAAAACTAAAAAAAAAAATTAAAAAATGCCAAGTACGGACCATAGGCAAAATTAGCTTAAAAATTCTCAGAAAGTTGTGTACATTTCACCACATCTAGATATGGCTAATAATATTGTTCGAAAACCGAAACCGAGAAAATCGATTGCGGTTTCTAATTTTTGCATTTAAAATCGGAAATTATTAAATATATTGTTCTACAAAGATGAATAAACATTGAGTATAATAAATCATCGTTAAGAAAAGTGCTTAAAAATCGCCATCGCCTCCCCGCGCTCGCGTTCATAAATATTAACTGTATATAGATGGGTATTACATTATAGTCAAAAACTTAATATATTCACCCCTTTCGACAACGATTCCGAGGCTTTTGCCACCTCGTTGGATTCCGTATCTAACTACTATAATTATACGTATAAGATATAATTTAAATATATATATACGTCCGCAAACGCAGTCAGGCCGATATGCAAGGGAGACTACCGACGCCAGTCATCGGATCCGATTGCAGAGTATTCTGCATAATATTATCCCGTATTCGTTTTGTCTGCTAATTTTTTAATAGTGTTTTTTTTTTCGTTTTATACATAGATTTTTATTTTTAGTAATTATACTAATAGCTTCACACATGAAGCGGATGACGCATCGTTGAAAGTGCTCGTCGACGACACTTTTACGTGAATTCGCCGTTCGTTCAAGGCGTCAAATATCGAGTTCTAAACACTTCGCGAAAATATAGTTGTTGTATAAAAAATGCATAACCGACGTTAATATATAAAATAAGGGCGACAAAAAATACCCTCGTGATTAATCGTTTTGCACAATTAGATTTCGAGAAAAGCAAATAAGCTATATATATTAGTTTTACTAACATATGTCTTTTTTCACTGAGCACACTTTTTCGGTTGGCGAAAATGTTCCGAATTATTCACATCATTTCAATATCCGTCGTCTATATAGTTGATGAAATGTTCCACTTTTAGACGTGGGTAAGGGAAAAGTTTTAACATGAGTCATTTGTACAAAAATTCGATTGAAACGCGAGGTTCTGAAAACCCTATACATTTCGCAAAGTATTCCTTCTCGCGATAAATATTTAAAATAAGACCGCGTCGTCGTCTAATCCGGGAAAAACAAAAAACTGCAAGAAAATATGTAAAATTCAATCGCGAGCTCTACAACGTACAGTCATTTAAATACCGGCTAAACACCGAGTTTTCGTTAGAGACTCCCGTTCCGATTCCCGTTAATAATTTTTCCTTTGAAAACTGTCTGGCGTCTGGAAAAATACTCCGGTGTACGAAGTACACCGCCGCTGTGCGGAAAATCTACATGTTTTAAAATGTACGCGCGATGTCGGTCTCCGGAATCTCCGGCACCGCGGATGTCGTACATATTTCATAAACGGTGTTTAATGATTATATATTTTGCACACGAAAAGAAAACCCTCCTCGGAAACGTGTCTCGGAATAGAATATTATATCGTTTCCGTACTCTCTATGCCCTGACATTCCTCTACGTCAAACTTCACGTTACCGGTCCCGGAATCTTGCTTTCTTGCCAGCACCCGTAGACCGGGTCGGCAATCGACGTCTGAAAGACGTCGTCTCTTATCGCCTAAAAAGCACGCAACGGCCGACTACTACCGCGACGGTTTAATGGACGCGTCGCGATGGTATCGATTGAATTTTAAATAGATTCTTGGCGGACCAAATAGTGATGTATTGGTTTTAAGCACATGTGCGTTTTTTTTTTTCTAGATATTGAACTCAGTGAGAAATATATTAGTTTCAATATAATGTGTGTTTTTTTTATTTTTGCGCCTAAACAACTTTTCTACTAGAAATCTTACTCCGTATTTCAATCATAATATCTTTTTTAAAATAAACTGTATCTGAGTTGTGAGTCGAAAAATCGTTTTCTGATTTTCCTTTCGGATTTTTTATTGATTTGGATTAACTGAAGGAAAAAATAAGCAAAACGAAAAAATGTACGGAAAAAACGGCTCAATTCATTATTTTCTATAATGTTTTCTTTGACTTTTTCTAGACGCGGTAAAATTTGTCTGATTATTTGTATACTGTTAAAAAGCGTTTAAAAAAAAAAAAAACGAATTTTTTCTAAACGTTTCTGAAAGGGTTATCGCCTATTTTTCTCATAAACCATATTTTTATATTACAACGAATATACTCGCAGGTGTTTTTTTTCTTTTTTTTACTTGCACAGGAAATGGTCTCGGATCGAAAACCGCTGTTATTATAATATAATTATACACGCTGCACAGATTATCCGTCAGGTGATAATAAAAGATACATTACGACGGCGGACTCATGAGCGAGCGAAATTTCGACCTGTTCGACCTATACCCGTCTAGGTCCGAACTCGTTAACGAGTGCGACGTATACTTTTATACGTTCCGACAAACATCTCGAGCTAACGAGATTCGCAGATAGATAGAGGGTCGTACTATTATATACAATAATAGTATTATCGTTTAACGATAACAGGTCCGGAGAGCTTGCTACGTACAAAGATTACTTTTGTTAATATCGTGCGCGCACGATTGGTCGGTCAGGGTTTCGGCTACAACACGCAAAAATTTAATTCCGAGCCGTTTTTCCACTCGACTTTCGGTAATTTGATTTGTATTTTGTCGCTCTTTCCAAGAACGGTCCGAACTTTTGGAATGCTGCGATTCGGAGAGTCGATAATTCGAAATTTTCTGTATATACTGTATATAACATATATATTATTCGAGTAGGCCCCTCTCCAAAACGTCAAAAAACCGTCGAATGTGCTAAATTGTTGACATTTGTATTTATCGATAATTTGATTTCGGATAATAACTAGATGTTTATTTATCTATTTACGGTGTAGGTACCCCGCGGCGAACACCCTCGGAGAATGATTTTTCATCACACGTGGTTTATTTATTTTTTGTTTTGTCAAAGATTGCACAATAGTTCCGTTATATAAACGAATTATGTGTAACGATAACGAAGTTTGATGTACCACAGCGACTTAAAGGCAGTCGCGATCAAATTTTTATGGTAAATACGAGTATAACGACTGATATTACGTGATTTCCGAAAAGTCACGAAAAGTAAACAAAATTTATAATAACTAAAATGTACTTTAAACTCTGACTGTATGGTGAAAAGAAGCAATTAGCTTTACTATAAGGTGTGTGAGTGTGTTTTGTTAAACTTTGTTTTGGCGAGTGAAATGCTGTGATTTGTTCATGCAGTGCCTCTTAAAAAATCCGTATTTTTTTTCCTGGGTAGTACTTTATTTGAAACGCTCTTTAAAATGTTCAACAGTTTTCGCTAGCGGTACGTTATTTGACGGAAAAAAGTTTTGATTCCCAAAAGTATTTCTATACAATTTAAAAGCTGACAACAAAAGCCGATAGGTACGTCAGTTTATTTTTGCCAATTAATAATTTTTATTTTTTTATACCAAACGGTTACTGGGCCACACTGAAAGGAACTCGTGTGGATCCCCTGGGTTTTTTTATATATTGGTTACAATAAGCAAAGAACACCACTATGCTACTACGCTCAGAATCGTTTTTTGTTTAAAATTATTGATCAGTATTTAAATTATATTAGAATAAATCATTTATGTTCCCGCCTACTACAGCGGTATACTTGGCTAACTATGATGCGTCCGGATTTTTCACAATAATATTGACGAATAACTTTATTTTAGCTATGACAGTATAGTATATTGCCGTATGGATATACCAGTTTGTTTTTAAAATTTATGAATGTAAAACGAACGGGTCTTAAAAACAAAATCTGAATCACGGATTTAATTAACGAGTTATAAAACTTAGTTTTCTTGTTCCCAAACATAAACAAACCCACCTGATTTTTAAAATTAAACCGTATAAATATAATAATGTATAAAGTCAAACACTGTTCATAAGGCTTCTATTGATGATAACGGCGATAAATTAAATTATTAAAAATATCATACTTCTGGAAATCAAATCATAAATCTCATTGGAATTATAAATTGAATTATACGTGAAAATACGTTAAAAGTGATAACGATATTATAAACGTGGTAATAAAGTGCTGTGTGAGGATCATAGACGAATTATTATTATTATTATATTTCATTTTTTTTATTGTCACATGATATTTCAAAAAATCGTAAAACAAACGGAGAGAGTTCGAAAAAAAAAATAAAATCATATTTCATATTATTATTATTATTTTATCGCAACGTAACACCGCCGTGCTCGAATATAATTTAAATAATAAAATATTATATTACGTTTATTCAGTGTCCGCGGGCAGTGATTGACGTGCAATATAAAATTGTATTTGTAAAAAGTATAAGATAGTAAAAAAAAAAAAAAAAAAAGGCCACTGGAGGAAAACGCCCATAAAGAGCAGAGAACATTTCCCCATACTTTTCATATTATCAAAATATTACTTTAAAACAATAAATAACCTTACACTATAAAAACACAATATACTGTACTACAATAGTATTATATAACTACTGCAAAAAAAAAACAAAATTATTACGAGTAAGGAAAGTTCAAACATTCAAAAAGTATATCCTCAATTTCTATAGAACCAGGCAAACATTATTTTGTATCCTCTTGTTTTAATTCAGGAGTTCGTTACATTGTGTTTAAAATATAAACCTGTACGGTCATGAACTGATAATGGGATAAGAGGTACAAGTTTTAACATTTTTGGAGACAGAAAGGCAAACAACAAGATATCACTATACATGTGCCGTTGAAAAAAAAAAGTCCATTACCAAGGAAATGAAATGGTCATTATCAATTATAATATTTGTGATTATTGGTCATTGCGTGCAGTTGGGTAAAATTCTGATGAACATTTTTTCAATCGGGGGATATCTTCTTTTTGCTGACTGAGGAATTGAATAAGTTATTTTCAATCACATCTTAGAGAAATTGAGCAAAACACCAATAGACCAGTACATTGTATTTATAGATATATGATTCAATACAGAAGGGTCAAACACAAAAACTGCATAATCAAATTTATAAATTCAACCACATACAGAACAATTCCGGAGTTTGAGTATATTTGATTAAAAAGAAAGAAAAAGAGTTCATGATAAAGAGTTACTTAAATTAGCGTAGAATAGACACATAATATGTATAATTGTGATGGATAATTTTTTAGCGAAAAAAAAAAAGAATATGAATTTTGCTTGTTGAAATACCACCACTTATTAATAATTGACAAATTTAAAAAAGAAAAAACCAAAATCAAAATCAATCCAAAGAAATTTTAAATATTTCATATAATTATTGTTATAAAAAAAATAACAAAAGTTTTGGAGTGTTAAACACAAACAATTGTTTTATTTATATTTACACGTTATGTTTGAACCATCGATAATAATGATACCAATTCATAGTAAAGATTAATTACAAATATTTTTAAATGCCGTAACATTTACGATTTTTATCAAAATTTGATCTTAAAACGCTTAAAGCATCGTTTTTTCTAAACTATTAACACTAATCGTTAAAATTATAATGAACCTCGTGTTCATTTTCTAAGCATTTCTGTTGGGATGATCAGTTTTACACATAAAAACTAGAATGACTCGGAAATGTCGATTGTCCTATAAATATTAAATAGCCGCAATGATTTAAAAATTTAACCAAATCTAGAAAAAATATTTTGTGAATAATTCATGTATTTAAGATCATTTTTTAAACTTATTCAACACATAAAAGAAAAAATCCAAAATAATGAAATCAATAATGCCGTACGCTTTCTTTTTTTCTTACTGGGTATTTCCAAGAATATAAAAAACTACAAAAAAAAACTTTTTGACCGATAAAAAGGCGCAATTTTAATTTTCTGAAATGATTCTACAATTAAATTTCAGTTGAAAATTTCCGGTAGAATATAAGAGATCGAAGAAAATTTAAGGTTATGAAATCATCAATTTCGTAAATATTTATCTGTTCTATCAACTTTCCCAAATATCTCGATGGGTATATTTTTATTGAAGTAAGTTTTTGTTGTTTTATTGCTCAGTAAATCATTTTTTTTAAAAAAAAAACAATAATAATAATAAAACAAGTATTTAGCACTTGTTTATTTTTTTTTTGTTTCTTTATCTTATTTCTATTATTATTTTATCCACTTTAAAAACCTATGGGAAACAATGAACCACATACTCGTATCATATTAAACATTTTTCATAAAGAAAACGAAAAACAATACGTGACATGATTAATCGATTTTGTCAAGTGTATAACGATAGAAGAGAAAAAAAAAAATTAAAAACGCCCTCAGAATATATTTGACATTCAATTTTACTTGGTTTTACAGATCTATTTTCGAGTGAATAAAAAAAAAAAAAAAACTTAAAACAAAAATGTGAAAAATATGTTATCGCACGTCGTTATTTTCATTTTATTTTTTAGTTTTCTCACTCATACGAATAACACAAACGCGTACGAAAGATGTATGTGTATACTAGAGACAGGTTGGTATAGGTTTTTTCCTATCACTGAAATTATAATATTATAGGTAAAAGAGGGTTTCTTTTGTACAACAACTATTTTAGTTTTTTAATAAATAAACAGTTGCGAAATAAATTAAGTTCTTTGAGTTTTGAAAGAAAAATATTGGAGAGATTATGTACATTTTTAAAACAAATTATTTATTTTGTTATAAAACAGAACTTTTTCTTACAATAAGTAATTACGAACTTTTAATATTTTTGTGTTGATTGTAGAAAGCTACGTGTCAAAGAAATATTACAATATCATATAATTGGTATTTGTAGAAAGATTTCAAACCAGAAAAAAAGATAACCTGCATTAGTTTTATAACGAACTATTATATAAGGTATTGGTTCATTCACTTAGAGTTTATGGAGGACGGGCAGGATCTAACAAAAAAAACACCAAGAATTAGGCTTCGTTAGCGATCCAATACCTTGATAAGAACATGAACGCGTCGTTGAATATGGATGGACGTGACGTTTGGTAGAAAACAATATCGAAGACTTTATGGAAGAGACAAGGGACTCAGGCGGTTAAGACACGTTTAGCCTACAAAATAATGAGAAAAAATAAATCCCCAATATTAATAAGATCGTCTTATCGCGGATAAAAACTCGATTGACTGTACAAATTCGCTTTTCTAAGTTTCAAAAATATTTATTCGAAATTAAAACTTAAAATATTATTAATATTTTTCGTTATGAAAAAAATCCGTTTGCTTTTGAATTTCGAGTAAATAATTATTTTTAAAACTATAATAATTAATAATAACTGTAGCTATATAGAATTCTTATTTAAAGTACGAACAGGAATAACTAATTACCTTATCCCTCTCGCCATCAGGAGTTTATCAAAATATTTAAACTTTGTTTTTTCTTTACATAATTTACACGTTTCTCGAGACTGTAATATAATGTTGGTTTGAAAAAAAAAAAATAAAAAAAACCTCCATAATTAACTTACGCTCGTAAAATATAATCCGGAAAAAAAAAATCTAAAACACAAAATCATCTCGCGGGTAATCCATCAAAGCAACACCTCGCGTTGTGTGTAAATTAAAAATAAATAAATTATTGGCCCTTTAAATAGCTACTCTTAAATAATTTAATATATGACCTTTCGGAAAGGTTTTTTCAAGAAAAACCACTGCGCACCCGGTGCGTTTAAATTCAGATTTTCGAAAATGTATCGAAAACTTGCAAAAACGATCACGTTCGTTTTTTCCAATATCATTTTAAACGGCATAAGTCACGGCTAAAATAGTATAATAACGTAATATTACGCGCGCTGAGCTCGTTCTAATGAAAAATATTATACAATGAGATTGTACGACGGCTATGTGTTACAAAACGCTTTATGCGTCGAACAAAATATAATTATAGTCTGTCGACTAACAAACGGATTCGGAATATTTCGATAAGCGTTTGGGGAGAAACGCGTAATTTCCTATTTCCGCTGTTTAACGAGCATAACATCCGTAACCGTATCGTGTATAGAAGGATTTCTGGTTTAATTGATTAGAAAATTTAAAATCGAAACCGTGCGGTATATTTTAACGTAACACAATTAATTACGTAGCGCGTTTATCTTATTTGAATTGTAAAATATTAGTTTTAGTTAAACCGGAGTTACGGTGTGTGAAAGTCACCTGGTTAACGCATCGGAAAAATATTCTCTGTTCCGTTTTTTTATTACAATCGTTACGTGGTGAATAAACTAACGTATTCAGCAATTGTTGTCCATAAAATGTTGCAGTTTACTAAGAACAAATGCATTCTATTAGTAGCTACCCATCCTATCTTATTAATATTATAAATTCAAAAGTTTCTTTTGGATGGGGAGTGTTTGTTACCCCTCCGATCCAAAAATATTTCTTACAATCCGAGTTGAAACGTTGAATAGATGTAGTTCTAGATCAGGAATAATATGTAAACTAATTTTTCTTTCGCTTTCTTCCCTAAAAAATGGACTGATACAAATTTATTGATATTTTTTGTAAGCAAATCCAATTATTTTGGTAGGTTTATGGGTTATTTGATTGGTTATTCGGTTTTCACTGATTTTCTTAAGAAATAAAAACAATAACGGGACAGTAAGTTTTACTGTGCACGCGTAAATCGTAAAAAGTATAAAGTCGACAGTCATAATATTAAACTTTCAAATCGCATTAATTAATTTACGATATGCACAATGAGAAATAAACAAGCAAATAAAAATTATAATTCATTGCCTTATTTCGTATATAATTCACATGCTGAAACGAAAAATGTCGCACCTCAAATCGTATCGTTATAGTTTTATCTTTTTTTAGCACGATCTCTACGATTATTCAACGAGAATTAGATTTAAACTTGGAAAAAACGATATACGTTGTTTTTCGTCGAGGCAGGCGAATCAGCAACCAGGCATCAGATTTCCTCCGTAAAGTCGGTCATCTAGTAACGTAAAATTACGGTGACAATGACTAATTACGTAAACAACCTAATTGTGCACGTATTTTTTAATATTTTTTTTTTTTTGGTTTATTCTATACACCTACGTTTATACGTCGTTAATAAACAAGGAGGATAGGAGGAGGGTGAGAAATGTTTACCACACCTCTGTTTGAGGTATAATAATAATTTCCGCATAAAGCGTTACGTTCCACATAATATTATAATATTTTATTATTTACATTAAACGGCTGAACACAGGCGGAGGTAATTCATCAAAAACCGCAGGCCCTTATATTGTTTTAAATGCAATTATTTACATTCGTATACACGCGTGCACCTAAATTGCCTGCACGGTGCGCCGTGTAAACTAATTTTGTTTTACGTCGTCGGCGTCGCGGTCGTTTCGAACGGAACGCTAATATATTATCGTTTCTTAAACACACGGATCTTTACCACATGCCGCACCGTATATTTACGAGACAAATAATAATAGCTACACGCGTTCGAATTTTTTCGGAAACTTTGTAGGAGGTAGCTGGTATATTATAGTAACTTTTCCGTGCTGATTTACACGATAATAGAGATGCGGATTTCAAACAAAACAAATATGATTTATATTTGGACTGTATACAATAAGGGTTTTTTTTTTTTTTTTATTCGACACAAACGTACGTAGCACTGATACTGACCGATTTAACTACAGAAACGGCGTTCCAGCTCAAGAGCTATCCACTGTTGAGGGTGGTGGGTTAGATACTGGAGGGTTCCAAATTTCCAATTTTTTTCCAATTATTAATAATAAAAAAAAAATGTTTATAAATAATCTCCTCAATGCCCGAACCAAAGAATCGATAATCCAGTTAATATATTTGTTACTGACAGAAAAATACAAATAATACGTGCACACACACTCATTATAAATACACATCCTAAAATTCAGAATACGAAAAAAAAAAATGAAAACAATTAGAAAAACATCATTTTGGCCGATAAAAAAAAAAATGGATGACAATGTTATTTCCTAAAATTGAACTCTGGGACGCCCTTCAAAAGCATATAATATTATTCCGCGTTTACGAAACTCACTGATTCAAATTGGAAATTTATATTTGGAAAAAAAAAACCCATTACTTTACACGTGTATACAACGAATTTCCGTGCCCAAAAGCGATTTACCGCGCATTTAGTAACTAAACTCTTATACAGTATAAAAACTCTTCCTTTATTTTATTTTTTTATTTTTTTTTTTTTTTCGTTATTCTTGATGGATACCGAAAGCGAATAAAAATCGTCTTACACGATCATTTTACTTTTATACAATCGTATTACCTGCTTTTAGATGAGATAGGTTCCAATCTTATACAGCTATATTTCTCTACTTATTCTCGACTTATTATACGATATTCAATTGAATTCGGTATAATATAAATAACAATGCGTTTACACGTAGGTAGTTGTATTATTTTATTCCAGAAAGCTTATTTCGTTTCAAATTATTATGTATAATACTTCACTTTTCATGTTAATACCGCGCTGCGTATTTCGATTCGTATAAGCAAAACTGCACCAAAATAACTATTGTACACAATCGAAAAGAAAAAAATGGTAAATTTATTTTCTAAAAAAAACTCACGATTGCCTATACGAAGACTTTAAGAGTATACAATATATTGTATTATCATTTTCAGATTCAGATGAAATATCAAAATATACCAATACACGATAATATATTATTGCCTATTGTAATATCTCAGAAAGTATTAACTTTTTTCGAAATTTGTTTTGTCCATTTTTCTCCTGATTATAATAGAGAATGAACGGTTTACATTATTATTAATTATTTCCCATTACACATTCGGTATTGCGATTGATTTATCACGATAATGACTCAAATTCGTATATAATTTTTTATGATTCCCAGAAATTTTTGCAATTCCAGTTTAACGAAGAAAAACCGATTGTAAAATCGTCTAAATCAATTATCTAAATCGTAAATTGATCAATTGTTGTTTACGCCGTAATTGATTTAATCGGAATGATAGGTGAAATGTTTAATTTAAATTGACCATCGAATTTCATCGAATCCATATGTGTTACAGGTACACATATTTTGTACACATATCGTTGCGCACGATATCTCAGTGACCGTTCGACAGTGCGCGTATACGTCTTAAATGAGGACGAAAAAACCCGAAAAAGTCCAAGCGAAACGACGATAAATATTATATAACAATCTGTCCGTGTATACGTATAGCGATTATGCGTGTGCGTAAAATAGCTATTGCGTGCCCGTTACAGTTGGTCAAAAATGATAAATTGCAGTCGTTTCGGATCGCGGCCGAGGCGATGAGATGACGTTTTTACGTTGCCCGCGTACGCCGCAAAACAAATACACACTGACCTCGCGGAGAACTTATCAAAAACAGCGTCTAATGAGACGTATCGTATACAACCTCGACGATTATCGACGGGAAATTAAACGCATTGTACCGATGTCTTTTATCTATCGCGCATTATTATGTTGTAAACTTACTGCGCTCCGGGTATTATGTTTTGCACGTGACGACATCGACCTGTGTACACGCTCGGCAATAATACATTGCGTTCGTATTGCTATTAATATTATTATTATTTCCGTTATCGACAGTGCACCTGAAAAACTGCGGCGGGGAAAAAAAAAAAATGACAGTAATATCGAACATAACTTGTACAATGTACATATACAGCTAAAATAACGATGAATATGTTTATTTTAAACTACTACTACTTCGATTATCTATTTTTTTTTTTTGTCTAGATCTAAGGGCGCGGTTTATTTTATAAAACCGTGTAATATCTAAAAGCAAAAATGTAACATTAAAATTTGCAACGTAGGTGTATTTCGAATGAAATAAATACGTTTAGCGTGATATCAATATTGAACGTTGTATTCGTGATGAATATAGGTATACGTGTAGCAGTTATTCCAATAGTAATCAAAACTTTACGCCACTATAATCGGAAAAGCCAATGCAATTATAATGTCGCTACACGTATCGATAAATTGCTTTACGTGCGTTTTAGAAACCATTTAGGTTCACGTCGTCGCGATAACGCGGAGATCCTCGGCTGTTTATATTTGACGTCGCCGGTTATTTGCCCGAATTCGTCATTCCGATCTCCGCGGTATGTGTCCGGCCGACACCTCAGTCTAGTTTTTTTATTGTATTTTTATAACTCCTATTATTCCTTCAACTACTTTGCATTGTAAATTTCTCATTCGTTTTTATCCCCCACTCAGTGGCTATATCGTCATTTTTCCAAAGATTTTTATTAATATTTTTTTTTTCCGAAATTCCTAACCTTTTTTATTCATCCAACTTTTTCGTTTTCCATGATAACAACTGATAGTTTATCACCATTGCCTATAAAATCCCGGTTATACATAAATTTACCCGAAATCAGCAATATTTCTTTCCGTTTTAATATTCGCACTTCTACGTCGTGTTATAAATTATTATGTCTACCGCAAGCCAAACACGTGATATATTTGCTCCGATTCTTTGTGCTCGTGAACTCTTTCAATAGCTACCAACTCCATTGATAAAACTACGTTTCATTGTACTGATAAGAATGTTGGAACACGTCTTTCCTTCGGTATAGGTATTCCATATATCAATGTCTTATCTGTACAACACATTTACAAACGTGACATTTTCAAAGCGGATAACAAATCGAAGGGTTCCGTTAATAATTATTATTTTGTCTAACGGATCGGTAAAATATGATGTTCTGAAAATATATTATACCTACCATATTATTATCGAAAAATCCTTTCACGTATGTAAATAAAAAACGAACCGGCCATACTTCGCACGACGGGTGGGCTACTGTTGTAAGTGAGAAGTTGAGAATATTGAGTGAAAATGTAATGTGCACCTGTACGTAACGATGATTAATTATTAATGACGAAAAAATATTCTGAGGGGAGTTCAGATATACGCATGGTTTAAAATGCCGTAATATTTACCATTTAAAAATAATAAATTTCGCTAAACTTTCCCGGTTTTCCCCAATATACGTTTGTTACTGGAACACAGATAATTCTCGTTTTTAATTCTCGTATTATGTTAAGGTTGCTACACAAATAATACGGTTACTATTAATATTATAATTTCGTAAGACGAATTCGTTCATAATTCAGTTATTCAGTATAATACATACCTTATATGCAGTCTTGTAGATCGTAGATTATCTTGTTAATTTGGAATTCGAATAATATATACTTGCCTTAGGCACTTGTGTGATTGTGCATACATTGTATTGGCTAATTGTTGATAATTATATTCCTATGGTTTTACATTAATTAAATATTGTTACCTACATATTTTATATTGTTCTTCTGGTGTGGTCTTTGGTTGTGATCCGGAAAAAGGGAGAACTTTTTCTCTAATCATAATTAGTCAAAATCGATAAATGAGGTACCATTTCAAAGAACAAATTCCCCTTTCGTGGTAGCACTCAAAACCACACTTTGAGTGGCTTCGACTTTCCTATTTGTGGCCATTTATCGATCCCTTATATGGAAGTAATATAATAACTTGAGGAAGAGTGCAAGACAATTTCGTAGAAAAGTGCTTTCGGTACTTATTATTTATTTAACGGCAAACGGCAATTCAAAAACGCATTATTAAAAATTGGATACATAGTAAAACTAACAGGTACGAATAGTGATACGGGATCTTACAACTAAAACAATATGTAAAACACAGTAGTATATGATTTAACCTAAACTAAACAACAAGTATAATTACAAATTAGAATAAACATTTGCAATGGGCCACTAAACTAAAAACTAAATACTACAGTCAGGGAGGGAAATAATTGTACGATCAATTTTAATGTCATCGGCGAATAGAAGAACATTAGAGAATGAAAGGTAACTTTTAATTGAGTTAATAAAAATAATGAACAGAAGAGGACTTAAACTTTATTATACAAATTATATATTAATTTATATTTTAGAGGGAGATAAGACGCCTATATTTTTGCCTCTAAATAACTTCATTAAATTGTGAGCAACATTTCGTTAATATAATACTGGCCATATGTGTACAAGATGTGTATACAGTGTTAAACTTATGCTAATAATTCTGTCAATATTTATTTTATTTTTTTTTTCAGTCAGATTTTATGCGAACGGAACACATATGTCGAGAAAAATTAAATTTGTATTTTCATCACCTACATTTAAATAATTTAAAAAGCAAATAAATTATTAATATTATTCTAACCGCAGAATATTAAGAAGACACATACCAAAATTAAGAATATTTGAACATCCATAATGGTAAAGAAAACAAAAAAATAATATAAATTACCCATGTATCATACAAATTAGACTTTGTTACATTATAATATTTCAATTTATTGTAAGAGCCTATCAATGTTCTCAATATTTCAATATTATAATATTGTAATATTTATTATAGGTATCTAAATTAATACAAATTTATATTAGTATACATACCGGTAACTACTGCAGAACTTCAGTTACACAAAATAATACAATTTATACTGATACACAGAAATCTTACTTCTATAAAATGGCCTGTAATATACCTGTAGCCTACTGTAATCAAATCATAACAACTCCGTAGCGGGGTAAATGTAATTCCGCATAGCTTGAAAAGTTGGATTAAAACCATGAGTTATCTTTAGTTTAATAATTTTTTTTTACACATTTTAACATGTTTGTATGTTTATACGTTTACAGTTGTTCCATTTTCGTTTGCCCCCCCGCACGATAAAAAATGGTCTGATCATAAGCCGGCAAGGCTTTCTCGATTGTTATCGAGAGTTTTATTTTATGCGCCACCGTAATACCGGACCGCTTATGGACAATATCCCTAATCAATGATAGTATAATTTACTGTCAGTATCAATGGTATAAAACAATGACTCGTTTATGTACCTAACTTCCAATGTAGAAAATATGATATTATCAAATCCTGCATATGTACCCGATTTGCTAAAATATAATAAATTACCCTACATTATAGCGCGAAGCGAAATAACAATAACTCGGTCGCCAAACAAAACTATATTGTGGATATTGTGGTTACTAATACTGAATATAGTCCATTGAAAACATCAAAAGTCACAACGTTGACGGAACATTTTTGTTCGTAAAACTCGCTATTTATATGCGATTGTCAATATTAGCAACAACAAACAACATTAGTTCTCAAACATAATCTTATGTGAATAACTCAAATAAACTCGTTAGAGAATTAGAAATTTGTTTTCATCTCTAGAAATACGTCTATCGAATTTTACGAAAATGTATTTAATTTTGTTTTTTTTTATGTATATATTTTCCTAAAATGGTTTTTTTTTACAGTTATATTATATTTTAATACATAAAAAAAAATTCCTTAGAAATTCGTTCGTTATTCAGAATATTAGATTATCTATTAAAAATATTTTCAAAACTGACTCGCCGCTAGGAGAATACAATCTGATGTTCGTACTAAAATTGTGCTGCTTTCAATCAATAAGTGGAAAATATTGAAAGCTTAAATAAAAAACATGATTTTAGAAAAAATTATACATTTATTAATATTATTATTATATTAGGTACAAGTATATGTATAATATATTACAAAACTTTTTTTTTCTTTTATCAACGTTAACAAAAAAATAAATTCAATATCTGCATATGAAATTCCGTCTCAGCTATATAGCAAATATAATATATATATATTTTTTTTTAAATCCTAAATTTAATACTTACAAAAAACTAATTTCCCGGTTATTTTATATACTATATATATATTATACGTATATATGTATATATATTATATGTAACGGAATAAAAAATCACGTTACATTACACACTCGCGATATTCAATAAATATTTTACTCTTACATTTTTTTACTGAAATCATAAATATTGCATCTATATTTATACAGGGTGTAGAATTCAATGTATATAAACACACATTTTGATGTTTCAAGACGTCCATATACAGAGTGATTCGTTAGGCATGCTCAGCATTCTTCAAAATCCAAGTAATGTATCGCTACACAAAAACTGTTCCACTACTCTCCCCTTGCCATAACTTAAAAGTGGAATATCTCGTGAAAGTTTGACGAAAATCGAAAATTTCAACACCAAATTGTATTTTAACTTTTATTTCGTCTGTTTATGTGATTTTTAATACAGATTCGTATTTAAAAATCCAAAGTTGCCATTTCACACCATAAAATTCTCAAATAAAAAAATTTGCATCTATGCATAATTTACACTTAAAAATGGAATGAGCATATTTTATGAAACACCCTGTATAGGATTAAAACATAAAATATATCGAAATAAATATATGGCAATGCATAGCCATCCAAGTACTTGAATGACAAAACGATTGATAGTTCAGCTTCAAATTTTATTTAAGCATTTCAATCAGTGACGTCATTTTAATTTAATTTTTGATTTTATTTAATACGCATTTAATTATGCAGACTACAAATCTTATTTTAAATTGTTAACATAAAAAAAAATTAAATTATCCGATCGGATGATGATGGTTTACTGTAGACGACCAAAAACGGAAATATTAAGAACAGACGGGTCCGATATTATAAAGTCAAATTGTTATTATATACGATAAATAGCAGCAGCTACCTTCTGTATTAAAAACTAATAATAATAAAATATCCGGTGTCCTGTGAATTTCTTGGTATTAAGACAACGCGTCCAACTATTCTGCAATATAGTGAGCCGTGACCCTAATTTTGGCATTTATCGATTATAAAATGATTGTATTTTTTTAGAAAAAAAAAAATAAAAATAAAATTAGTGTTCACACGTCCATGGAAGTCATTTGTATGTCGGATAAAATTAATTCTTATATATATATAAGAATTCTATTATAATGTTAATACAATTACAGGTGTGAATTTTAGATTTCGAGCGCACCGGGGAAAGTATTGGATATACTGTGCTTTTATTATTGTGTCTGTAAACAATTAGTCTACTAGAAATCTTGCTACAATCGAAAAACAACAAGAAAACTTTAATTTTTTTAGAATTGTTTTATCTATTTGGCGTATTTAACTAACAAATTGACAGCGATAGCGATTATTTAAAATTTGTATTTATTTTGTTTTTATTAATCTTGCACTATACATTTCAAGAGCAG